ATTTTACTGCTGTAAACGAAGGAGCAGACTCACCCAGAGTAGAATCCAGTTCAGCTTTTATATTGGTTGGGTGAGGCCTTTGAAATAAAAGTATTGTGCCACATAACGATGACCAATTTTCTCCATTTTCACAAATTCACTGAAAACGTTCAGTATTGATGGCTGCCAAACAAATACTATACAACGTGGCGTCTTCAAACTTGACACATATGCTTTATAGGTTGCATACTTTCTAATACAATGATATTTTTCAAACAACTATCGCCATCTCTAGGTCAGGCCGGGTACTTCTGGGACCACCCTCGTATAATAAAATTAGACATGTAGTAAATTATCCACTGTGAAGCTTGTCGCCATTTTTGCGCTTGCTTGTTGTCGAAAAGAAATGTTCTGTTATAAAATTATCCTATGCATGTCCCGCTCCCCAAAAACCTCGACCCATTTTTTATAGTAGCTTGGTTAAGAAAAAATTAAAGTATCAGGCCTGACAACTAATTAGGCTTGAGTACTGATGTACTTTGTGAATTCATATGTTAGTGAGATGCTCAAAAAATATTTTTCGTTGTTACAGATAGTGCAAACAGACTCAAAACGTTGCTCAGTTTTGCTGTTGGTGGGCTCTTAGGTGATGTGTTCCTTCATTCTCTTCCAGAAATATGGGCCAATGATGTCTCCAGGAAAGGTAATTATTACTCTGTACAAAAATATAAGCCCTAGAATATCCCTTTTCCGAGATACAGCATATTTAAATCGAGTAAAAAATATTTCCAAAGCGAACAAAATTTTCTGTTTGAAATTTTACAAAACTAACTAAATTGAGTATCTAGAAAGTAAGATACTTTTAAACTCTAAAGATAAATAATTTTCACGTCACTGTTTTTTTTTCGAACGATTTTAAATTTTTTATTGAGATAATTGCACACGATAAAATTCAAAATGTGCTTATACGAGATAAATGCTCTATATTTATCGCAGACTGAAATTACATTAACCTCTTTTGTATTTTGCAGGTGGCACGACATCAGCCAGTGGCCTGTTGATACTGACTGGTCTAATACTTTTTGTGATTGCTGAGAAATGCTTTACTGTGATAGAAAATATTAGTGAAAAGGAAAATCAGGTAGAAGATATATCAGAGAATAATAATATCAAAGGGTTGCCTTCAAAAGGAAAAACAGCTGGCGCTGTAAGTATTTCATATACGGCAATCATATTATGTGCTTATTACTATAGTACAGCATAACTGGGTTTTTATTGTATTACATTGGGTAAGAAAAAAGTGTTTGTTATCTTGGCTCAGAATATACAAACCTCTTGTCGATATTGCGATTTATGAATGTTATCAGATAATTTTTGTACTGCATCATAGATAAAACATAAGATTTCATCTACAAGAGGTTGTAGGTCGAAACCTCCTTAACAAAACTAAAAAAAAAGCTTCTGACCTAATAAAATGCAATACTACCCTGCCCATAAACATAAGATAAATATACTGGGCAGCAGAAGATTTTATAAGTAATAACTTCAAATAATATTTTTTCTGTGCGGCTGTCTTTCGCTAAAGTGCAACTTCGTAGACATTTGGAGTAGACTGTGATAGAATAAATTAGATTGAATACTTGCATGAGATCGCCAAGGGATGTGCAGTTTAGTTTACTTTTGGTGGTAGACAATTGTTATGGTAGTAGTATCAAGTTTGCAATTGTTCTTTGAACGACCGTATTCCTGACATCTATAATGACATAATCATATCTTCCTCATACAACTTCCTTTATCACGATGTCATTGTTTTATTCTGTTTTGAAGTTCCGTCCATCAGAATAATATTTCATATTATATATAACCTTTCAAGTCTGACTTTTACATCACACGAATTTTAAAAGTAAACATAATACACCTATTTTTACTAGAAACCTTTGTTTCACTAGTTTCATTTTACTGTTGTATATGATCGACTGATTAATTCAGAACGCACATAATTGTACAGCATATGTGAATCACAATGAACAATAGCTGTGTGAGTTAATGATATGCTGCGAGCATGGGGTTTTCACGATGTTCCGCGAAACAAAGATAATATGTATCGGCTGATACAGCATTATATGGATTAAATGAACAGTGGGGTGTAGTTGATACAAAATTTGTTTTTACGTCAGAATAAAATATTGTTTCGGATGAACAAAGAAAATAGATCCAAATGAGGGGTGCTGGTAATAAAAATACTAGAGGAGCTCAGATCACTTGGAGTTTTAATAATTTCTCTTCATAATCGACCATATAATACGAGTACATAACTAATTTCGCTTTGATTCACAACATCACAACCTAACCTGTCACTTGACAAGATGGAAATCACTCACTAATGACAACTGAGAATGTCAGCAGTCCAGGAAATGTCATATGTCATAGGTAAGATATAGATCACTTACGCAAAAAAGTTCAAATGGATATTCCGTAACATGCAGCCTCCTGCGCCTGTTTGTTAAGTCATATTGCAAAACTTTCATTGTACCCTTTGTAATTCATATTTTGAAAAAAGCTGTAAATTGCACAAAGCTGCTCAAAGTTCAAGGTGCGAGGCTAGGGAAAGCGCGAGTCTTCGCATCCAATACTGTGAACTTAAATTCCTTGGAATAGTATTGAATCCTCACTGTGGGGCATCCATGTCAGTAATATTTAAAGATAGATTTGTATCGTACAAAATTAAATACCTGGCTAATATACTGACAGAAAGCTATGTTCGTACATTATACCATATTGAGCCTCATCTCTCATAATGGTATATTAGCTGCATTACCATCACATATCGATAATTTAGATATATTTCAAAAAACTATTCTAAAAATGGTTTTCAAAAAATAGAAACTTTATCCCACTAACGAATTATACGCAGATGTATAAATGTATCAAATAATTTCTTACACAGTAAGACTACCATACATTTGTAAACACCCGACCAAATATTTAAACATAACCAATATACAAGTTACAAAGTACAGTAGTTTCTCAGCCACATAAATATATAATGAATATCTCTATTTAGCTCCAAAATTTCCTGAAATTATACCTAAAGACTTAAAGATTCACATTTCGGAAATTCGAAAGTGGGTACATTCTATATCTAGGACTGAAATTCATAAATACGAGCATCGAGTTAAAACATACTGTGATTGCTTGCCCTTTCTTGTAATTTGTATTCTACAGTTACAGCTTTAAATTATTGGTCCATGCATAGGCAATGCCTCCTGCTGGGCATGTTTTTATTTTATATTTATTTACTCGTGTTGTTTTCTTTGTATATTGAATGAATAATAATAATTATTGTTATTACTAAAAACAAGTGGGTACAACGCTGTATAGCATTCTTGATATATTTCAGACAAATTGAATGCTTTGAGGCTCTTTAAAAATTCCAGATAGCATAATTGAAAAATATACAGCATGTTTTGATACTTCCATTTTATTAGCTCATGGTCATTAGTTAGTATTTAATGTTACGTATAATAATGATAATAAACACATATTTTAAGTCCATTCTAGTGTATGTAATAAAACAATTTCTGATATGGAATTCAACGGACGGAATGATAAACAATAGAAATATTAAAATGAATTTAATTAACCACATAGAGGAAGCTAGTGATAAAACAATACAGAATACATTCCAGTATGTTTTGCAATATTGACATAGAGAGATGTACATGAATTAGACATTCGCTATTGTGTTCGGCGATTAATTTTATTCAACGCTGCCAGATCTCATAATACGTTATTATCTGGAAGTGTATAAACTATCCAACTATTTTTTGCCTTTAAGTATTTTTCGGAATGAGATACATAAAAGTACTTACATATATCGCACAAAAACGCCTACTGGCGAGGAAGTATTGTAATCGCGAAAAATTTCGAAAATGAGATCTTTTGTGGGTGTTATATGACATTTTAATCACGAAAAACCATGTCACTCATTTCTGTCTAATTATTGGCCCATCTATATCTGGGAAAGTACGTGTCGGATTTTGATGAAATTTTCACAGATGGTTACTGCCATGTCAAGGACGAAAAAGCTTAGTAGTTTTTTAAAATCGGCGCAGAAAAAGGCCAAATAAAAATTGTTCAAATTCCATATTTTGACGTTTAATTTTGATCATGTTTGAAAAATTTTTTAGGGCTGTAATTTTGTGGGGTGGGGGGTTCTACGTACCCATTAGACATATTTCACACATCATAGATTTCCCCGTATATTTGCTCTTGAAACAGAATGATAGAGAACTGTTTTCGATACGCGTTACTGCCTCTGCTATATGGGATCACCGGCGAGCGTGACGGTGGTAGTAAGTGTTCTGGCCTTACTGGCGCGCTTACGCGTTGTGCGATAAGGTATCGTTGACAAATAGACTATCAGTAGGACAAGAGGAAGAATGCCTATGGACGAATTGTTTGGCTCTGTTTGACTGACTTGATCCGTTTAGTTTCCATGTTACGGATATAACTTTTTTCTCAGAGAGTCGAACAATACTTGAACTACTATGAACCGATGACGGATTTGCGCGGGAAATGCACAGTCAACCCACTTGACGACATTTTTGGTATTCAACTACTTTAGTAAATATTAATTATACAATTATCATATAATTGTTTCTTATTTATGCAGGATTGACTATTATTAAATAGTCGATTAGTATATTTTATTTAAGGCGCACTAGATTTCCCAGCACTTTTTATGTTCCAAATGAGTATTTTCAACTGCATCAGTGCTTATAAGAGCTAATTTTACCATAAAGCTGCCGCTGGCAGTTAAACTTTATAAATTTGCTAACGTTGCGGCGAGTGATGCATCCACATATTTGAAGACCGCACTTGTCTGCAGATCAGAAGCAGTGACTTGATCTCTTGTAACACACGTTTCCTGATAATACATACTGTTATTTAAATAAACTAGATAAAATATTGCCAACAAATTCAAAGGAAATAAAACATTTCAAGTCAGACAAAACGAAAAGCACGTTGAAAGATCAGCTGATCTTTACGACAAACACGTGATTTGCAGACTCCCTTTCATTGGTTGAATCAGGACCGGCAACTGCAGAAAGTTGAAACTTCGTCAAGTTTAGCGATAACCTTGCTGAATTTCTGTTTATAAACAGTTTTGCGTAAGCGTATGGTTCAAGTTCTGCGTCACGGCAGGGATGCCGAACGTCAGATTTTTTAAAATTAAGGGGGCGGAGGGGAGGTGAGCTCGGCTACATCAATGCTAATGCCATTCTGATAACTGAAGAGGCCGAACCTGGTCCCTAAGCCGGCTGCCTCACTTAATTAACGTCTGTGTCCGGCCCTGTTTGAATGTTAACAAATGCATGCCACACAGTAGAATATATTTGATCTCTATCTCCACATTTCAGATGGCAGGCTATCTGAACCTAGTCGCCAACACGATGGACAACTTCACTCATGGCCTCTCGCTGGGCGGGGCCTTTCTGGTGTCCCTTCGCTTGGGGCTGTTCACCACGTTCGCCATCCTGGTGCACGAGATCCCGCACGAGGTGGGCGACTTCGCTATCTTGCTACGAAGCGGGTTCACCAGGTGGCGCGCCGCCGTCTTCCAGATACTGACGGCAGGTGGCGGGCTGATCGGCGCGTTGTCTGCGGTGCAGTTCAGCGGAGCCTCCACGTCTCTGGGTGAGTTTCAATATAATAGTTTTTTCAATACCAACTTTAGAAATCGCAATCATCTACCGCTTGAAATCTAAAAGTTTCTCCAGAAATATGAACATGATACTCAAAAAGTAAAAAAGTCGTAAATGGTATATTTTGTGTCGTTTGATGAAACGACAGAATCCCATTTATGGAAAATCATTAGAGTACCAAGAATTAGGGTTTAATTTAACGTTCATGTTCACCCTGACGATATACATGATGTCCTCAAAGTTGAGACTTTTACAGAGCGTATAGATCAGACAGTAATAAGCATGTTTTTCTAGTAACACCTATACCAAAGCTTTAAGATAAGAGATATTAAGTTCAGAAAAGTTATCAATGAGCCAGGTCAACCCTGGCTCCCTCCCATCCCTCGATCAAAACGTATGTTGTACTAAGACTATGTGAGTCAGTATCCAAATCAGACGTCGCGTGGTGTCTAGGTTAACCTAGTTTATAAAGTCCTATTGATACTGCGCAGGTGTTCTCAGAACGTCACCGTCGTCCTCGATGTTTCTTTCAAACAGAGCAGCATAGGTTTGTTTATACCATGCAAAAGCCGTTTTTGCGTGAACACAGTAGAAGACCTAGACAGTGTTGGAAATTTAGAAGAAAGTAAACAAGCCTCGTGTTTTTAGATCGAGCAGCGACAACTTTAAGCAGTATCTACAAACAAAACATGTGACAGGGTAGTACTTGAAATTCCTTACCAAATGGATACTGACTATTTCTCTTCAATTTCTTTTTTTACGTTTTCGGTGCTGTTTTACCAAAAATTATTGCAAACGCTGTTGACTCTGAAAAGAAAACTCCCAACTTTCAGGACGTCCTGTATACACATAAAAAGACTATATCAGTGATTTTCAAAAAGGTCCCTCCAATTTTTGTTGAACGATCAAGTTAGCAACCTGAAATTTGGAGTAATTCAATTTCAAGATAGCGGTTTTCTGTCATCTTGGAACATTTTTTAAATGGAATGTGCATCAGTCTGACCTCGGACTCATTTTTACTCATCATTTTTTGGCTACTCGTTTTTGCTCATTTTTTCCTGTAATACTCATATTCTCATTATTTTGGGAGGTTATGCAATGTAGTGAGCCCTACCCTAGACGCTCAGATCCATAGAGCGTTCCAATAAATAGTAGAACACCATATTTGGTGTATCATAATATGAACGACAGTTTGTAAAAGTGCTGTTCCAATTTTCACTTGCCAGCAATACTGCGATGGAGCAGTTTCATTCATATTGATTACATAACCGTAGAGAAGCATTAAATTTTTCCACCGTGTAATACCGCAGTTTATCAGTACATTATAACACTAGAGTATAAATTTACTATATTTCAAAAAGGTGGACTGGTGGGCTATCTAGGTTGACATTCAATCGCTTATGACTAAACAACTAAACATTAAAACGCTAATCAAACTTCTTTTGGAAGTATCTTTCTGATGTGCAATAAAATATAGGACATTCCGTTTAAAACAAATTACAGATTTTGAAGGTTTTTGATTTAGCATACGTTTGGATAATTTTATCTGCGAAAATATACAGGGTGTTCAAAAAGTATGAATAGTTCAAAGTATCTCGAAAAATACGTTTCCTAGAGAAACATGTTGCAGAGCAAAGTTTTAACGTTTGAAAAAGTTCATCAGGCGGTGACATTGACCTCCAGGTTCTTTAAAGGCCATGAGTTCTTTTAAATGGAACCTGTATTTTTGACATGGAAATGTAAATAGCAGGAAATTTTGCATTAAAGTATGTCTTTGCCAATGACCTTGACCATGACTATGAAATCAAGGTCATTTAAAGTTTAAATGAATTTTTAGCTGAATTCCTGAAGTGCATATTGTGGACAATTTTAAGTTCAAGTATGTTCTTGCTAATGAATCTGACCAACACCGTCAAGGTCATTTTAATGTCAAAAATGTTCAGGTAAACTTCTTACTTTTTGTCGAGGATATAAAAAAGCGAAACATTGAAATTATTGATTATTGCCTTACTTTGAATATTGAATCCAATCTCCTTCATACTAATGAAAAACGAAAGACCTATACTTTACACTACTACTGCCACCATAAGGAACTGCAAAATGGGGTATTTATGACCTCCCATTAAGAATGTTCCATAATGGCGCCCAGCCATCATTATATTTTCAATGGTCACTTTTACACTAAAATATAGTAAGCGTATCATCGATTTTTGCCTAATTTCTACATGACTCGATTTTTGTGTTTTCCAGAAGCGAGAAGTTCTTGGATAATGCCCTTTACAGCCGGCACTTTCCTCCACATCGCATTAGTGACAGTGCTGCCAGACCTTTTGAAAGAAGAAGACCCCAAAGAGTCCTTCAAACAAATCGTAGCTTTAATACTCGGCATCACCGTCATGGCGCTCGTAGCGAACGCCTTTGAATAAACGCACATTTATTAATTTATTCACTGAGTTTTATTGGGGTCGATGTGATTATTGGTGAAGAGGTAGTGACGTTAGAAAGCAAGACATTATCTCTGATAAAGGTCTAGAAAGAGCCTACTTGAACTCTTGTAAACACTTTTGTACCGAGGAGAATGCAACTGACAAAAGCAAGTTTCTGCAAGGTTCCAAAATAATAGTGCCATTTTAGCGGGCTTATTGATTTTGTCCCTTGTCTACTAAACCGCCTCTAAGCTCACGTCAAAAAACGGTGAGAAAGTTGAGACAATTACTACAAGCAAATTCAATTTTGATCATCCAAAATTAGAGGAGAGACTATATGGAAAAGTCAGATAAAAATACAATTACTCAAAAGCACTAAAATGCAACAGTTTATTTCTTGAGAGTTTTCTGAAAATGATGTTTTTCACGCTTACTTGCCAATCAGCTTTTTACGAAAAAAAAAAAAATAATATACGAAAGCTGTGTAGTTCTTTTCTCACAAACCTACAGAGACCAGGCCAGTGTCAAAGTTATTGCAAAAGATTGTTAAATATGTAACATTTCCAATTGATTGCGTCTACCTAAAAAAAACATTTAAATGAAATTCTGTAATACTATACTACTTGGCGAGTAAACAACAATGCTGCTTCAAGAATTTGAAAGTACTATCCAGTATTTTCTTTCTTTCTGTCAGCTTGCAAACTATTTCTAAAAAGTTGTATATTATTACAAAATTGTGAATGTACTAACTATAGTATTTTTATTAAAATCCGTTGGTTTTGGAAGTAGATATATAAGCAATTTGAAAGCGATCCATATTTAACCGTTTTTTTTTCGCAATAACTTTTCATTACTTTATAGAATAGGTCTCTAAAGAAACTAGGCAACTTTAGTAGAAAACGATCAAAATTAAAAAAAAATGTTTTTCGAGGAAGGCTGAAAAATAACCACAAAAAAACGTTTTTGTCGATCTTTGAGCACAGGTTTTGGAAAGAGCACAGGAAATAAACTGCATCTTAATCCGCCTCCGTCCTTATACATATAATTAATACTTTTGGAATTTCGCACAACCTCACTTACTTTTATGATTTGCAGTTTCCTCTGTTTTGTAAAGGGCTCTATTAACATGGACGCTCATTAAGGGCGGTGATGGGTGAGGCATATGCCGCTTCCTAGCTTCTGGTTGATAAATGAAATATACATAATACGGCATCCGTTTCTTGAGCAACGAAAATTACCTTGCTGCTTGGTTGATATGAATTGTTGAGATGTGCAGGCCCCTCCAGACACTCATGCCCTAAAGAGGCAAGTAATTTTTTTTAACTAATACAAAAAACCGACTTCAGTAATTGAAAAGAATGAACACTCAATTGTGATATCAAGACGAATATATGAGCACCACAAATGTCATAATTGATCAAGCCATTTGGGCTGTATAGATTGTTAGCCGGTTAAGCTGTAGCTCGAGGAACAGCAATTTCAAAGCTGGAATTTTCGATCATAATCCAACATTTTGACTTTATAAAATTTTGCTATACCCATACCCACCTTAAGTGTCAAGTGCCCATAGAATAGGGACTTCAAAAAGTTGAAATTTTGGAATTAAATCAGCCAATTTTTAATACTCGTTTAGCCACTGCTAAAAAAAATCCAACCACACTTCATTTAGCAAAATCGATCAAACCTGTGGAATAGAATTTTTTGATGACATACGCACTCGTAAAATTTAAAGAGAATTCAATTTTCAATCGCCTACAACTTCCTATCCCGGAGAAATCTTGCTGAACATGATTCTGGAACCGACAATGTGCCTCCCTTGAATTTTACTATATGGGCGCCCATGTCTATTAAAATGATTGAATAAGTTGATTAAGGATGCTTATGACGTCGCTACCTCTTACATTAAAATATTGTACGTCTTTTCAGACTGCATCCGTTGGTAAGTAATACAGTTTGCATATTGCAAGCAATTGTGAATATTCATAAAATCAAATAACACGTAATTTATAGAGGATTCCATTCAATTCAATCGACTTGATTGTAACAAGTACAGTACTGTACAAATGGCCAATGGTCATTCACACTCGTCAACCAGATGACTTATTTTGGTAAGCCATCCAGTCAACTGGTTGGATGTGTTGTAGCTATGTTTTCTATAAGAAATATCTACAATGGTCTCAAGCAAACGTTTTCAACAAAACTGTTGTACTGAGTAGCAATAAACAACTCATGAGATGTATGTTAGATAAGCAGTCGAACCTTTTGACAATGCAAATATTTGTTGTATTTTATTGGAATACATTATTTCTAGAATCTTGCTTCAAGTGCAATGGTTTTGTACCAGCCTTTTATTGAAAACATGATGGCTTAAAAAACCTTGAAAGGTAAATCTTTTGTTGATTTTGGAATGATAAGCAAATTATCAGTTTTTTCATATTAACGGGCGAATTCAAGGAACTTCAGAACCCGTTTAATTCAAATGGCTGTTGATATGAAGGGAATGCTGTCGTTCCCTGAATGCACTAATCTCTGAATGTAAATATTGGTTTATTTGTTCGAACCGTGTGAGTGTATTGCTCCTAAACAAAATGTTTTCAAGGACAACTATGGGTTATTATTTGTGGTAACTGGAGGCATATTTCTAAAATATTCAGGGAGTCCCAATTTTGAGCCACATATCAAAGTTGATTTTTCTTAAATTGAATGCTGTAGATAGATAGATAGACCATTTTAAGGAACAAGATTTATATAAAATACTTTCGGGTTTTGGTTATTGGTTATTGAATGAATATTTTATATAAAAAACATCAAAATTTGACTGCCTGCAGATATGCTATGTTGAAAGGTGACCGTGAATTTTGCTTCAAAAATTTTTTACTTTACTCAATTTATCCATTTTTTTTTATGATCTGAAACAAAATGTACGTCTTAGCAAAGAAATTAAATTCTCACTACCGGATCTTGTTTAATATACATTTTGTTTTATACGTTTGTTCAATCCATAAATAGTTTTTTTTGAAAGCATTGTTAAGGGACAATACGCCTTCCTCGCACGGCTGGGACACCATGTAATACCATCGTGATTTTTTACAAACGAACAACCTTAGTAGAAATATATCTTTCTACTTATTAAATATCGAACAAAACATTGACTTTGTAGCCTGACAGTATTTTTTTGGGATTAACTTTAAGATTATCCTGTTAGGAAATGCAATTGTAATTAGAAAACCCTGATAAAACTAGGTGAAGTTATTGAATTTAACTGTGTTAACAGAGTTGCCATATATATTTTATATTTGCTAGTGATATATGATTGTAAAAGTGTACATATTGTAACAGTATTTTAAGGTACTTTAGTGTAATATCAGACTATTTTCATTTTTCGTAAAGAAGAGTATACATACGTACCATGTAAATTTTATATTGCAATACAAAATCAAACTAGCATCAGAATTTTCTTTCTTACGCAATCTGCTGTCATCGAATCACAACCTATGGTGTGGATTTCCGAATTTCGAAAATTCTCCCGATTTTTGGGCCAAGAATATGCCACTTTGTCCAGAATTAGACATCTTGAGCTCGAACGGAAGTAGCCGATGTCGTCTGATAGATTAAAAATGATAATCCAAGTGAAGTACATCATTGAAAAATGTTTTTGAATATTTGCGATAAAAATGGGTAAAAAATTGATAATATCATCGATATTGCATTGTACCTAAGTGTACAAATACAGACAGATAAGATCCAGAAAAACATGTTTACCTATACCAAAACAGGGGGATTAGAAAGGAGTGGTGCAGAGGAACATAAACAGGGACAGGAACGCCTCTTTCGGAAATATCATTGTAAATATCATTTTTTAATGTTAGTAAAAGAGGATCAAAATAAATACAGCCGGTCTCTGAACTAGTGAATGTGCCTATTATGATGGATAAATGGTGTAAATGAGAACGGGGATAGATTTGACTATTGCTTTTGTTTCGAGATAATGTGAATACTACTATAGTGATCATATTGTGGCTAGAGAGGGAATGCCCGTTGAACCCTTCCTGTGTCGACGTGGAGATGCATAAGCATATTTTAGGGATAAAAAGACCTTGCCAAAATTGCAAAAAATTGTATAATTGAATAGTGTCTCGTTTTAAAATAACTAGCTGTATTGAGATGTGGCAAAATGGATTGCGGAGTCGAGGGTATGTATAGTTATTATGTATTACTTGCAAATCGACATCAATACGTAAATTCATATTTTTGAATTCTAAGACTTTAAAATAACCCATTGGACTCTTGCATATTTCAAATACTAACATGTTTGTCAGATAGACTGTTAAGAAATACGTCAAGTTTGGCTGCAGCTGACTTCAAGTTTAGCAGTTATGCGACATTATACAATAATGCATCAAGTATACCTTGAAAACATAATTAACTAACTTTAGCGCAATCTACATTTTTTTTAAAGATAGCCGTCATACTGGATCCGACATTTAGATTTTTTAAGAATCGATATTATTTAATTCGTGAATACTTGAAACATAATTTTGGGCGCGATCACAATATTTTTTTTCAAACATAGCCCCGCCATACTACAACCGGCAATTCGATTTTTGAACAATCGATATCAAGATCGTTATAGCGACCCTGAAAATATCTGAAACTTAAATTTAAGCTCAACCAAATTTTTTTTTTTGCAAAGATATATTAAATCCGCAATTTTTATCTTAGACAAATTGTCATTTTCGTTATCACCGACCTAGAAAATGTAGAAGAGGATTTTTTTTGTAAAAATTGGTGAATCATTCTAATTTTGGCCATATTTTACGTACTTTTAACAACTGTGGCTTCGATCGTGTGTGGACTAAATTATGAATGTTAATGATTTTAACCATTATTATGTTCACCTTTGTAAGATTAGTGGAATCGGAACGCAGAAAGCCTTCCATTTTATGCAGAACACACACAATGTCATAACTTTGAAAGATGTCAGTTATACTATTTTATATGAAAGCGAAACTAGCAGTGTTTTCGACTATAGGTGACTTCCTAATTGCTGATGGCCTGCTCACATCCATAAATTTCAAAACGCAATGAAGTTGTGAAGAATAGCTTACCTTTATTTAAAATATGTCTTTTTCCCATCCACTTTTGCTGGTTTGACAAACATACAAGCGTCGCCTAGCGAGAGCAAAATTCGACATCGCAGCCATAATCAATGGTTTGGCATATTAATTGGTTTTATTTTTGAAAAACGGCATTCCATTTCCTCGTAGTATTTATTATAATAATATTCTTAGCCATGCTTTCAATAAACTAGAAAATAATGGAGTGCCGTAAGATATAAAAATCCTTGTTCCACTGAACGGATTTGCCTGAAATATTTTCGATTGCATTGCTTAAATAAAAAAGCTTAACCATCAAAATTGTACGCTCTGCATTATAACAAAATTTAATAGAGTATTTAGAAAATTATAAAAATATGAAGAAAAACACAGTAATTCAGAAAAGTGGCAATATTTTTAGGACTACGAAAAGTTAATATAAACGGGGGTACCGAAATGTCCCCTTACCAACATACAAGATGTTGAAGTTATAATCTTCGGGTTATATCATGATACTGAATTAAAAAAAAATGGTTCAGAGACTACAGTGGCGTAGAAATTAGGAAATTTTGATCACTTCAGAAGAAATTGACAATCTCTTCTACGTCACTGTTTTGAAAAGGTATAGTAGTAGTTTTATATGAGGTACCTCTCTTAAGAAATGTTTGTCAAACTATTCCTCCTCGGTGAGAAATTGAATGCTCGAGTTAAAATACATATAAAAAACCTACATTCTACTTCTGAAATACGGAGAAATCAGTAAAAACTGTTTTTAGTGTATTAGGAGACTAATACGATTTCACAATAGGTGGCGCGTACAAGTTATATCCTATCCAATCATGCATTATATTAGCGAAGATTTGCTGACATTTTTATGTCCGCGTGACGGATTACAGGGGGTGGCAGATTAGACAGGTTCCTGATTATCGCGGGCCCACTGTATTAAAGGACTTATTGGAGCACATCAGAGTGGAACTTTAGCGACAGGGCTACTCTTACGCTTAACCCCGTGCGAACAACGAAAAAACAAATTAAGTATACGGACAAAAGAACCAAGAAAAGGATACAAACAAAAATATCAATGTATACAGCAGAGGGCCCAGAACTGGAACCTGCGGAACTCCAGATGAAACTATCGTAGTAGATGTTATAGCTGTTTTAATTGCCTGCTTTCTGTGGAAAAACATGGAACTTCCGAGACAGGGATTTCTCGGGACTATTTCCTACTTCCCCCACCTGATTGAGTAGGAAGTAAAGTCCAAGGGATAGAAGGAAGAGGGAGTAAAAGAAACAACAGTGACTTTTTTCAGTAAGTTCATTAGAATATATATAATAACTTTGACGATTTAAATAATAAATAGGGGTAAATTGCATCTGTCAAGTAGTTGACGACCTCAAAAGCGGGCAGTAGCGACATCAGCCACTATCAAACATGTATTTATAATCGATAGTCTACCACAGAAAAATCAATTGCTAGGATCAGCACAGTAAAACCAACCAGGTGTATAGACCCAGGATGTTTGGTACTCCTTCCCTTAAGTCAAAATGCAGTCATTTGTCATAGGAAACTGAATTATTATTATGCGCATATCGCAATAAACCCTTATCCCAAAAGCAAATGATACCTTAGATTGTTAAAAGAGAAAGCATTGTCTACTCTAGCCTGCCGCGAATGCGTTTAATCTCAGTTCAAGTTTGGATATTTTTGACCGGCGATATGTCAACTAACAATTCTTATCATTGCCAAACAGCGTTTTCTTTTGGCGAAACTAATTTTGTACTGGTGCTATTTTATGTTCTTTTGACAAAACCTGTGTATATATTCATGTTCTTTAATATCGCGCAACCTGGAGGAGCTCGTGCTAGTATTGTCAAATGTCAACAGTATCGCATTTTACAGCTTTTAGTTTTGCAAACGCTACAAGATTAAGGTAATCACGTATCTGTTAGTCGACATGACTGAAATCGTAACCATCTGCAACAGACTGGGGTAGGCAACCCAAGTTTAACGTCCTTTTGTTGAGAACTTTGATAATAACTACATCTGAACCAAGGGTTTACTGGATCATAAAAAATTTGGGACATTGGGCCTAGTAGATTAATATTATAAAAATAATATAAGTGAAATATGACTACTGTTAGTATTTTTGCATGTTGACCAAACATCCTGTATACCCAATATATCGACTCTAGGTTAAATAAGATAAAATTGTGCACCAGATTTCAAAATTTACATAAGCATACAATACATAACAAAATATATATATTTGTATATAGAAAATAGCAGTGACTCTCGAAAAAATATAAAATAATTTCGTCGTGCATGAGCAGGCAAGGAAGAACAAAGACGCAAACTAATATATGCAGCACAGTAACACGTCTGTATCACAATAATAAAACTGTAAAGTACCCTCTTAATCCCATATTCTAGTGCAGACATTTCTGTTCCTTTTTATGACAAATAACTCGAATGGAATGTCTTTTGAAACACTTACTGCAATTTGGTACGTTCTCTTAGGAAACATTAGTGCCAGAAACGTCACACTACAATGCCATGATGCTTTGGCACCTATACTGCTATGTATAGGGCGTTCATATTTATTTAATCTCCCTGTTCATCAGCAATGTTTACTCGCTGGCTTCTTTCAATTTACATTTTTGCACGACTACTGATGACAGGTTGTTTTTAAGCAAAACATTTCCGCTGAGCTTTACCCGTAATGAAATTAGAGCCTGAACATTGGGCCGACGTGTCACATTTGACAGGTGCAAATGACAGGTGTAGTAATAGTAGTACTGGGTAGGGAAAGCTAGGCAACTAGGCCATCTTTGGCCTTTTTACCGACCCCACAGTATCAACATTGTACTACCACAAGCCGTCTACGGGTAAGCCATTATCGAATAAACCAGCTCCAACGATGCGATGTACCTATGTTGATCTTGCACCGCTCGTGCGTAATACAGAAAATAACACAATATCAATGACTCGAGATTAACTTCCGAGGCGGAGATTCGGAGATTAGTATTGCAAGACAGGATCAGCCAGCAAGCTTGTTGGTTCTGAGCCAGCTTTAGGAGTGCCTGCGCAAAAAGTTAGGAAGAAAATGGAAACGTGGATTGCAATAAATGGAGAAGTATTTCCAGACATCTCTGTCAAGCGCTGGAACTTATTGTAGGGCCCAGCGCTAAGGATGGACGTTTCTGCCTATCTCTGGATAGAGCCAGAATAAGGTTGCTGGTGGGACTGTTGTCTAGCTATAACACGTTAAGGCGGCACCTGCACGTGATGGGGGTGGCTGAGGAACCCTTATGTAAGCGCTGCGGGGTAGAGGAAGAGACCTCGGCGTACGTTCTGTGTCGCTGTGAAGCTCTAAGCTACTACACTGGGGTCCTGGACCCTCAGGGCTTCAAGGAGCTTGGACTCAAGGCCATTCTCAACTTCGCTAGAAAGGCGAGGCTTGAGGTCTAAGGAATGTAGAGATGCATAAGGCCCGGTTTAACCGGCCTATGCACTGTCTCCTTATGGTGGCCGGGATGCCTCTAATTTCATGATTCATTCATTCACCACAAGCCATTTACTGGTAAGCCATTGTCGATTAAACCATCTCCACCTATGATGATCTTGCACCGATTGTGCGTAATATAGAAACGAGGTTAACTTCCGAGGCGGAGATTCGAACCAACAAAAATATTGCTGTAATTCTCCTCGCCTCAGTGGGCAAGCATCTTCTGGCATAAACACATTTGTTTTATATCTATCACAAACTTGTTACGATTTTTTTGCATTCTTCAAAAAACGTGTCATAAAACAAAATTTAAAAACTTTTCGCATTTGAACAAGAAATGTTTACACTTGTATAGTAATTACTGTATGTACTTACAACAAAGTTTTTTTTTATATTTTATTATCTTTTGGGAGTCGCTCTCAAACTTGATCTGGTCAAGCTGGCACTCCACGTTTCTTCTAGATCTAGACTGTGAACCCTACCAAAATTATATACATAGCATAGCGTTACAATAATTCTTTTAGCAAAGAAAAAACATTCCATACTTTCATGTGCAGGGTTTTAAATTGAACTAATTTTTTTATGAAATTAAATAACACATGCGTCGTGTAATCATAAGCTGTGGGTTATTATGGGCAGCTATCAACTATATTTTCACTTAAATATACTTGATAGCTGCACTTTGAATACGACTAAGCAAATTTAAAACATTATATACGCGGCTAGTCAAAAATTTCTCCACAGCAAAGGTAACAAATACAACTAATAATATTTGTTGCTGATCGATGCTAGCATGGCTTTATAAAAAAATCATTTGAAAAACTGCGACTTCAATTACGTATGTTGGCAGAATATAAATTTGAATCCCTGCACATCGATAAACAATAAATTGTTCAAAATTGTTCCATGTAGGTAATCCTGTTTTACAGAATTTTGATAGAAATTAGTAAATCACTCAGGTGCAAGTGTAGTATTCTAGGTTAACAACTACTACTTGCCTTGGATATAAACGGACTTTGTATGAAATGCAACTGTATATTTTTCATTTTAATACTTAAGGTAGTAAAGTATAAAATATCAAAATAGCCTTACAATAGAAGCAACGATCTACAAAAAATGCTAAATAAGAAGAAACAAAAATTGGATATCGTGTGGGTGCTGTATTATAATACTTTGCCAAAGTGCATGCTGTGTTAAAATTACGATATTACGTATATTTTTAGGCCAGTTGCCGTAAAATCTCAACCACATAAATAAAAATTTGGAGTAATTAAAAATTGCATAAAGCCGAACAAATTTTTAGTAACGGTAATTACGATTGGTACACAAAAACAGTTAATAATCTCTATAAAGGTCGCGGACATTTCTAACAACTTATTCGACAACGTTAAAGGTTTACGGCAATGGTCCTCGGACAAAAAATCAATAAAAACAAATTTATGGAAGAATAGGTGACGTATCATCTTGTTTTCTATAATTTGCTCATTTGATGTTCATATAATGTTCCAAAAATGATCATGCTCTTAGAAAAAGACAGCTGCAGATGGGTTTCTCACCCTCCCATTACCATAGGCCAAGATCCCATAAACCTTCTTGTGCTCCGTAAGCCAAATGCAGTTTACATCAAAATTTAACCAACCAGTACCCGTCGACAATGATAAAGTGTATTTGACTAGCCACATTTCCGAGACTCTTTTATATATCGACCAGAAGGTTCCAGAAACAACGCTTAGGCAACCAGGGTTACTCTGCTGCGTGCGGGCGATTGCGGCCTTATAGAGCTTTATTTCACGTTCGAGAGCGTTCTGCCGATTTCGGGATTGGCATTGTCTGGAACTTCGACAAAAGCGATGGAAAACTTCTCGGTTGGTCGATTTCAAAATATAAAATCGTGATGACAGTGGAAAGGACAGTCAACGGGTAGCGACCGACGCGACAAGTCTAGTTGACATGGTTATAAATTTGTCATAAAATAGTTGCAAGCATTATAAATTAGTGTAAGAGAAATGAGAACGGTGTTTTCCTTACAGTATACTTACTCCATAGCATTGCAGCAAATTGAATGTTGGCAATAAACTCTAACACTGTCAACATGCGTTTGTTCGTTAATATGACAGTCAAAATCATGCAAACAAAATTATTCAAACATTGATAAAGACTGCATTTGAAGCATGGACTTGGGGCTAGAAGTCGGGATCTATTGGTCTTTCTTGTGTCAGCATCACCTTTATTGGAACATGTCTAACTGTTTCCGCCTGTCAACTGAATCAATAGCAGTGTGGGTGCACCTTATTGCTAATTTGAGAAATGGATATAACAACACAACCCCTAAGCTGAAAGCACATCGAATCATCGCCCGTGAGTTCTCGGATGGTGACCAAAAGTCCACAAAACGAAACGCCTCGAATATCCATTAAAAAATTATCATTTCAGTTTACATCTAAATTGGTTACGTCATCCTCCTTCGTTTTGCGAGCAATCTTTCAGTCACATCCGTCGGTTGACTTTCTAGAATGAGATGCGATGCCACATTGCAGTAGCAGGCAATATTTTTTTGGTATTCATACGTTTTTTGTGTGATTGTGGGAATATACCAATTACGCGTATCCATTATAACGATAATATTAAATTACAAATTTGCTCCTACGACACGGTTTACTCTTGTGGTTAAAGCACCAGCGCTGATCGGTGGCGACGAAAAGCGAACGTGGCTTCTCACTCTGAAAGGAAAAAAAATTAATTGGAAGTACAATGTAATAATAATCCAATGGTAACATATTATGTTGCCGGTCCGATAGCTGCTTAGCCTACACAAGGAAAACAAAAAGTTTGTAAAAGTGTCGATTTATTTCTCAATTTCAGCTGATACACATGACCCAGCGATGCTCCAACTTCTTCAACCCGTCTGAAAAATACATATGCATTCGACTCGAAATTTCTGCGACTTTTTCGAGTTTGGAAACAGAAAGAAGTCTCGAAGTTCCAAATCTGGAGAAAAAGTGGATGGGGCAGCAGTTCTTAGCTTAATACGACCAATTTGGGCGTGGCGACGGCCGAGGTGCGAGCCCGTACGTTGTCATGATGGAAGCGGTCTTTTTTCTTCGCCAAATGGGGCCGTTTTTCTGCAATTCAGCATCGAATCGGCCCAATAATTCGGCATAGACGAGACCTGTGACCGTTTTCCCTTTCTCCGAGTAGTCTATGAAGATCACGCCTTGTGAATTTCAGAAAACGGTGACCATCATCTTTCCGGCAGATATGGCAGTCTTCGCCTTTTTCGGAGCAAGTTCGCCGTGTGAAGTCCACTATTTCGACTGTTCCTTGGTCTCTGTTGTGTATCAGTGGATCCATTTTTTGTCGACGGTCTCGAAACGACGCAGAAACTCCTCCGGATAGCGCTTAAACAGCGTCAAACACTGCTCTGAAGTGGTCTCACGGTTACGCTTGTTATCCGCTGCCACACGCGGTCAACACAAAACTACGAGTGAGAGTCGGCTAAAATTTCGACAGTAGCCATCTACGAGAATGCGCTAAACGATAATACATTTCCCTTGCGATAGTGGCGACATCGGGCGGTGAGGCTAAGTACGTATCGGACCGCCCTCGTATTTAAATTTAGCGCTATTTTCAACGATCTGTCTAAAAAATGTTATAATGCGCATGTGTCGCTTAGTGACCCAGAAATTTAATTATTACCTGCACAGCGAAAGAACGCAAGACGGGAAACGGTTAGAAGTGACGCAGAAATAGATAGGCGTGTCGGTAACGCCAGAGAAACTGTCCCAATTGTCAGTTGATGATGATTTACTCCTATGCGGTATTTGATATCAGTCACTGACAATCCTTCGATTATACAGGGTGACTTCGAAGTTGAGTCATTTATTTTAACAGTGAGTAGATCTGATCAAAAGAAATGTTTTTTTCCTTTAACATTTTTCTGGTAAAATTAAAGTAACAAAGTTATAGCCCTTTAGAAGTTTGAGTACCGCCCTGTCTCAATAATAATATTATGTGCTCGTGTTTGGCAACAACGGATATATCGGTTCATCGCATCGGAAACAAAAAAGCGAAAGAATTTGAAACGTTTATCACGATGTTTTTCGTCATTCGGTAACGCGTGAGTGACTAGGGGTGTTTGTTGCGTGGCTCAAACGAAATTAAAAATGGCACATGTTTACGAAAATGCTCAACTTGTGGACATGATTCTTATTTACGGGGGGGGAGTCTTTACAAAATGCTGCCGCGGCATCACGGATTTGTGCGAATCGGTTTCTCAATCGAGTGCAACGAACCCCTCGTGCCTTTGTTAATGTAGTACAAAGGGCTCGTGAATCAGGTGACTTAAGACCTCACAGGGGAGGGTAGCATGCCGGTGCTCCAAGACCGCACGATCAAATACAGGTCCGCACTGAAATACTTGTCGGGAGGATACTTTATAAAACAAGGTAACATTTTTTTTATTTTTACACACATATTTTGGTTTATCTTCCTTCTACAATCATTATCGGAAAATTAATGACTCAACTTCAAAGTCACCCTGTATAATCACTTTAAGAGTATATGATGCAGTGAAGATGGTTTTCATGCATTCAGTAATATTTTCAATGAACCTATTCCAAATGACAGCCCAAGAACTATATTTCACGCACAATAGAACTCTTCTCTAGCCAAACGAAAGCACATGTTGAAATGACTCTATACCATGGTGGCCTATTCAAGGAATGTTTGACATCGTCGCTATTTCCGCGTTCTTTGACCTTGTATTCTTTTGCTGGACAGATAATATCGATCGTTTTAAGACGGAGAAATTATAGAAACGTCTAAGGAAGTTCATTTTTTCATGAAAATGATAATGATAAACTGATGGCTGCGTGACTTTTCACAATGGTAATTGATCTCCATTGGCTTGCGAGCACATGCAATCTAACCACGCTAGGTATTTTTGTTGCGAAATTCTCAAAAATAAAGTGTATTTAAGCAATCTGCAGAGTATTAATGACCTGCATCAAAACATGTGTCACATTAATAGTGAAATCGAGCCAAAATTGTGCGAAAGGGTTGCTGAAAATTGTAGTCGAAGAACCGCCATCAACAGCTGAGGGAGCTAAATGGAGAATATTATACAGTGTGATTCAGAAAATCGAGGCAATATTTCTGTTGTAGAAACTAGAGAGTAGGTTCGAAAATAACACGAAAAGTTATTATAAAATATAGTCCTGAAACCCCTCTTGCCGAGATAGAGGGTGTTGAAGTTGAATACATTCAAAAATATTTGTTTCTGAGACTGTTGGTGTACGAATTGGGAGATTTTAACCTTTGCAAAAGAAAGAAAATTATTCTCTACATCACTGACTATCTATTGTATTTTTGAATAAGGTATTCAATTCTATATGATTCGTCTTTCTTCAAAATCAGTGGGGTAGACACTATAGTATATTGGTAATGGAACATTTAATGATTTATGTTTACACAAACATTTTTGTGATTTTTTGTCGCCACATTTCTCTGCATCATCCTATATATATAGGGTGTTCCTTAATGATATGCGAATATTTAAGGGTGTGAATCTACTTGAAAATTTATGTTAGTTTGCTTTATAAACTATGGTCCAAAAATGTTTCCTTACAAAAACTCGGGGTGTTGAAGTTTTAGGAAAAAAATGGAGATTAATTAATATTTTCAGAACCGCTTCAGATATTTCACTGATATTTAGTACGTAGTGAAGGTTAATAAAGTTGCATATTTTTCAAAGCAAAAATAATTTTTAACTTTAACAGTGGCGTGCGTACCGGTATTGACTTCGATATTTTTTTAAGAAAAAAATGATATGCTAATGTTTTTTTGCCAAATAAAAATTATTTTTGAATTCCCCTTTCAATTTAAAACAAATGATCTGTCTTGCATTGTTTTCCTTCGATGCGTCTTTTTTGAGTAAAAAAATAAAAACCGTTCTATTGTCTAACTTGCAAAATTATTATTAATTTAATTGGAAAAATTAAACACATTAGAGGTAATGAACAACAACTGACAACATAAACATAACATTAAAACCAACGAAATGATTACAAAAATTGTTGAAAATGACCCTCTTCACTTAATATGCACGCTTCCGCTCTCCTCATGGAATTGCGCACTCATTGAAATATCCCTGGAGTGTTTTTTATTCTATCACAAGCTGCAACTATTCTTTCACTTTATTCCTCTACAGTGTTAATGGGACTGTGTCTTAAGATAGCCCCACAAAAAGAAATCTAAACTATTGAGGTCTGGGGACCTTAGTGGCCATTCTTGGGGTCCACCGCGGCCAATCCAACGATTTGGATAAACAGTTTTCAAATAATTACGAACCGCTAGACTGAAATGCGCTGGTTTCACCATCATGCATGTACCACATATCTTTCTTATTACTAACGGAACATCATCAAGCAGCAAAGGCAACTGTTGTTGAAGAAAATTGAGGTAAGTCTGTCCGTCAAGTCGTCCCGGCAAGAAGAATGGGCCAATAAAGTGGTTGCCAATAAATCCTGCCCGTACGTTAACCGAAAATTGGTGTTGGAAATGGGTTTCAGTTACGGCATAGGGATTTTCTTCTGCCTCGCACGCCTTGGAAAATCAATGGGAAGTCATGCCTGTACTCTTAAAATATGGTAAGGATATAACAAAAAATCCTCTAAAATTCTCCAAACAATTTGATGGCAAATATTCAAGTGTCTAGCGATCTTCCTCGTACTCGTTTCAGGATGTTCTTCGAATTCGTGCAGCACTGCTTCCCCAATTTCAGGTGTTCTCACCCTTAGAGGTCTACCTTCAGATGTTCCTTTTCGGATAGAACCAGTTTCAACAAGACGAAGATGAATATTAGAAAAGGTTCGACTATCTGGCAAAGCACGATCGAGATATCTCTGATGATAAATCCGTCTGGCTTGCTCACCATTACCGTCGGCAAGGCCATATACGTAATGCATTTCCGCCATTTCTGCATTTGAATAATTCATTATTAACAAGATTGTAAAAACTAAATAATGAAAACAGAGACTTGTCAGATGTCAAAAGACAGTGACATATTCCAGAGCAACTAGATGTTTATTGCTGAATTGCATTCTTCAATTATTAAATTAATTTTCTCCTACAATAGAATGGTTTTTATTTTTTTACTCAAAAATGGCGCATCGAAGGAAAACAATTCATCAATCATTTGTTTTAAATTGAACGGACAATTCAAAAAATTTTATTTGGGAAAATACCATTGGCACCATTCATTTCTTAAAAAATATCGAAGTCAATACTCGTACCCGTACGTACGCCAGTGTTGAAGCTAAAAATTATTTTTGCATTGAAAAATATGCAACTTTATTAACTTTCACTACGCACTAAATATCAGTGAAATATCTGAAGCGGTTCTGAAAATATTAATTAATTTCCATTTTTTTCCATAAAACTTTAACACCCTGAGTTTTTGTAAGGAAACATTTTTGGACCATAGTTTATAAAGCGAACTAACATTAATTTTTCATGTAGATTCACACCCTTAAATATTCGCATATCATTACAGGAACATCTTGTATATAAAAATCTTAATTCCCATATTTATACATTCTAACAATAAGTAAGATATTTTTTCAAAATTGTTTTTCATTTAAAAACTAAATCCAGAAGTACCTATTGGGACACAAAGTAGAATATCAACAGTTACAGTATCTTATCAGAGACATTTACCTTTATCCCCAACGATGATGGACCTGCGCTTCTGCTGTTCTGCTGGGTCGACGCCGGAATTTGGCCTGATGGGTCTGACCACAGCTCCCGGGCTTCCCCCTTGCACTGCGTTCACGTTCACGTGGTGTTGTTGCCCGGCCCTGATTGGCTTCGCGATTGTCGCGGCTGGGCCCCGTCGAGCGAGGTTCTTTTGGCGTACCGCTTCCTTGATTCGGTCCACTTCGTATTGATATCTGGAAAAACAATATATGCCATCAATGTTGCAACAGAACTATTGAAAGATTGCAATCGAACGTCAAACTAATCTATAAGCATCTCGTCCTCCAAAAGAAGGTTGACTCTGCAATTCCCACGCAACGCTATCATCAGTTCATAAAGGATTATTTTCGGCACAAGTTAGCCCTTACGAGAAAAAAATTATTGGATCAAGCCAGTCAAACAGGCTCATTCATTAAAATTGCATATTTAGCATACTTTTGTACACAATTTTGCGTCTTTTTAGGATTTGCATCCCCCTGAGAAAATAGGCTGGCCTCGATTTTCAAAAAGATTTTTGGAGGTAGGAACGCTTTCATATAAAGTTATATTCTGACGATGAATGACCCTCTCCCCTGAGAAAAACTTCCTGCGGGCGCACACATCCACAGTCGAGCAGCGACTGCCGACTGCAACGCAATATATGTATGATGGAAATACACCAAATTGACATATACCCTCACCCACTCTCTACAACCACTAATCCTCAAAACTTCCCTACAGTTTTCCGAAAATGATTAGGAGCTTCTGAAACTTAAAAAACGAAGTTTGAGCGATTTCTATTTTTTTTTCTCATTTTCCAAAACCTTCGCAATTACAATACTTGCCTGCTACTAGGCATGGAAGGTAAAATTGATATGAAATTTTCAAACCATCTCCGAACTTTCCAGCTAAAACTTCGAAATAATTACGGAAAATTTCCGACAGAATTTTCATGCACAAATTTATGGTTCGCCAAAACGTAAGAATAACTGCAAAACACCATACCTCTTCCTGTCCCGCATAGCTCCCTCTTTGGCCTCCTTCAGCGCGGTCTCGAGAGCCTTTACTCTTTCCATGGTGGCGCGCAATCTCTTCTCCAGCTTGGGCAGCTCGCATCGGAGATCAGCGTTGTCGCGCACCAGCTGCTTGTGCACCTTGGTCAGCTGGTCCAGGTTGTTCTCCAGGAAGGAAATCTTCTGTTTCTGGGCCAAGGAGCCTCCTTCTTCGTCGGCCTCCTCGCTGTACATGTTCTTTTTCATGCGGGCCTAATGCAAAAGAGATTTTCACTTGGACGTGGGACTCGATTCTTATTCTGAACGTATATAGATACGAAATGCAGAAAAATACAGGGGCTGCTATTGACAGTATCGTGGGGGAGGTTGCGGTAAAAATAAGTGCATCCAAACGGAGCGTTTATAGAGCGTGAGTATAAGAGCACACACTCGCTTTTTATAAGCTGTTGAAAAACGAGAACGTCAGAGTATACTTTTTAAAAGAGATGACATTGTCTTATTGAGAAGAGATTACCCTCAGAAAAATGAAGTCTTTCATGGGCGAAAAAAGAACCATACGTATATTATTTGGATAAACGCTGGTCATACGGGATCTAAAGTTTGAGTAGGCACCACTGTAACATCATCTCGACCGGCTGTCCTGGAGGGACAGTCTACCGGATTGAGAAATCCTCCAGGGAAAGGGAAAAGGCAGCGAAAATGAATTTGTTTCTGATGCCCTCTAGTCATTCAAATCTAAAAGACCGTCGGATTACCACGAAGAAATGGATGGCCCGTCATATGAGGAATGGTTCAAGAATACTTTATCCAATATGAATAGCAACTGTGTTATTGTTCTCAGACTAGAGAGAATTCCGACAACTGCCTCCAGCAAAGCTGATATGCAATATTGGCTGCGATCAAAAAAGTGTTGCTACAAATCATAAACAACAACAAGTCACATTATAATAAATACATAATTGACGAATTGACTGTATTTGGTAGTTATGCTGTCAAAACTTAAATTACACGATGCCCTTCGAGAGTTATTCAAGAAAAGACGAGTTCTTCTACCGTTATTTTTTATGTTTTATATGAATCAAATATTGACCACTTAATCTGAGATATATGAAAGCCTCTTTGGAAGAAATTCTATGGTTGTTACCTGTAGATCCTGCACGAAGAGCTTCCTGAGATTGTGCAGAGTCTGCAGTTCCTTGGCAACAGTGTCCTCGAGTCCCTTCAGGTCTTTCCTCGCCTGTTCTCTGCGCTCGTTCGTGGCACTAAGCGGGACACAATTTATCATCACCACATACAGACTGACCGACAGACACTCTCACCCACCCACAAGCAGCACACCAATGAGCGTTGATAAGTTTGGTTAGGTTTCATTTCGTTTGTCAATTACCAAATTTGATTTTTAGTTAATACTACCAAAAAAATATTACCTTTTGCACATGAAAGACGTTTGGAATGATAGATTACCAATGGGTTAAAATAAATTTGTTTGAGTTTCGAAGTAACTACATATTTTAATATCAAGTTGCTTTGTTGTGGAGATACGTGGTAACGTTTCACCAATAAAAATCACAGGAGCTTTTTAATTACAGTGTCCGAAATCAAGCACTACCTCCAGGGTGCTAGGTTCCAATATTCGCACATAGTGCAATTTTTTTTCAGAAACGCTAAGTTCGATCTATATTGACTTTAGTCTAATCATATTAGACGAAAATATCCCTCGTTTGCGAAATAATTGTAAAGACTGGTTTTATTGCTGCAAGTTGTTCAAAGGAATATTTAAAACATGGAGGCATAAAATAGGTAACACCAATTTTTGTGGGAAAACTTTTTATTCGTCAACAAAGAATGTGAAAACGTGTTTTTTAGGAGGCAATCGAAAGTATTGGCAGGAACGGAAAAACTTTTCATACAAGATTTTTAGGTATTTATGAGACCTACAAAATGAGACCACACGTAAAAAGATCCGACTAATAGCAAAAAAGTTATGGCCGAAAATCGAGGCAAACTGCAGGTTTTGGCACTTTTTGATAATGCGACGATGGTTTCTCGCAGATATTTGAAATTTTTCAAATTAGTAGGATTCGTACTTCTAAATAACCACAACAAAATTGCAGTAGGTTGGTGAAGCAGTTTTTGAAAATTTCTGATTGTTTATTAAAAAATACCTGTTTTCCGGCTATCACTACTAGTTTATTGAGCAATATACAGGGGTAGTTCAAAGGGCATTTTATAGCAAAATACACTAGTTTACCTTGCTGATATGAATCGCAAACCATTCCGGAAGATAAACGTTATTTTTATGCAAAAAAGAATGGGTTGCGTTTTTTCTTCTAAACAAATTCAAACATTTCGTATCTGTGAATAATTCGTAACAAAAGATGATAGACACATCCGCTTTGTTTTAAAATGTGTATAGTAACGTATGTTTTTCGAATATCGTAGCGCATTTGTTCAATTACTCACAAATGCGAAATGTTTTAATTGTTTAGAAGCAAAAAACGCAACCTTTGTTTTTCGCATAAAAATAACATTTATCTTTCGGAATGCTTTGTGATTCATATCGGCAAGGTAAATACGTCTATTTTGCTATCAAATGCTCTTTGAACCAACCCTGTATATTGTGAATAAAAAACTAGTAGTGATGGCAAGAAAACGTGTGTTTTGGGATAAACAATTAGAAATTCTCAAAAAACTACTTGACCAATATACGCCAATTTTCTTGTTGTTATTTAGAAGTATGAATCCTACGGATTTGAAGAATTTCAAGTGGTTGCGTGAAATTATCGTCGCATTACCAAGTGCCAAACCCTGCATTTTGCCCTCGTTTTTCCGCCGTAACATTATTGCTATTAGTCGGATCTTTTCACGTGTGGTCTCATTTTGTAGGTCTCATAAATACCTAAAAATCTCATATGAAACTCCTTTCGTTTCTGTCAACACGTTCGATTGAATCCCAAAAAATACGTTTTCTCATTCTTTGTTGTCAAATAAAAGTTTTCCCACAAAAATTAGTGTACCCCTTTTATGCGTCCATGTTTTAAATAAAACCAGACTTTACAATTATTTCGGGGAAATTTGCTAATATGATAAGACTATTGTTATACCTAAGTAAGGATGAATGAATGATTGATGGTCCCAAATATCTAGAAGATTGAGGTCCGGAACTTGAATAGGCCGTAAGTGAGGTCGATCTGATTATCATGATCCAACGATTTGTTAAAATGTTTTTCTTCTAGTATCTTCGAAACAAAGCGGAGTATTATCAAAGAAAAATATATTGCAAAATAGAAGTTACTTCGTTAACTCAAGAGGAACATGAAAAGACATATGACTAGCATCAAATTATTATCTATAATACGCCTACTTCAACTGTATCACATCTTTACTTTAGTTCATTGTATAATGAGGCACTCAAAATCCGACAGCTGACTGAACTACAAGACACAAGACAAGTTCTTCAATCTGCTTAATGATTATTGATAAGGTTCTCAAACAAGTAAGCCTATTCCCAATCATAGCTAAATCGAAAAATCAAGGAAGTATAATGATAAGAACTGATTGCTCTCCTCCAAAACTTTAGAACGACAAGATTTTATAGAAGAAAAAACTCGTGTGCTTAATTCTCATCTTGACATAATTCGTCCCCTATAGGATTTTGAGTTCATGATTATAAACTTTTGATATATTTTGATTTGTACACAGAACGTTCCTATATTCACTTAGATTTATTATTGCACAACAATGATATATTTTAGTCTCGGTATACTTGATATATGAAACAAACGGGCGTTTTGCAAGTGCCTATCATCACCTGCATTACTTAGTAATGCAGGGTGAGACAACATAAAATGTGAGATTAAAACAGCAAAATGAGGTTGTAACAGGGCTTCTGAAAAACTAAAAACTCGCGAATGTAAAAATGTAAATATTCCAAGTGCTTTTCAGTGATTCAAGTCGTTCTATAGTTATTTCAGATATCAAGTATACTAACATTTCTTAAACATTAATTAACAAACGTTTCTGATCCTCCTAAGGAAAAATATACGCGTTATTTACACATTTTTATACGCAGAAGAGCTCCATTTTTTACATAATATTTACATTTTTACAGAAATGCATTAGTTTTACCTGTTAAAACCATTTAGTGCATATTATTTTACTTGTCCAAAAAGGCAAGGCTTCATATTGTCAGAATAATGCTAATTACTGAATGTTTGTATATATTGCAAAGAACGATTTTGAAATTACTGTTTGCTGAAAAAAAGTCAATAGTTTCTCAGTGCCATTTATCAAATCAACAAGTATTTGCTACAAGTCTACATTTTAATAAAAAATGCTGCTAATCATCGTATTATACAAAATCCTATAGGTTATTAAACATGTCAAAATGAGATACGTTGTATGAATACATTTTGATGATATTTCTCCGAGTCTCAGAATTCTAATATTGATTCCTCGCATAAGTACTTTGAGCATTGATATCCAGAAAATTTCATGGAACTTAAAAGTGGTAACAGCTATATAGAAAATACTTCAGATAGGGGATATAGAGAGGGTCAAAAATCAATAATGGTGAAATAGCATGAAGCTGATCCGCAAATGCTGGTTTTCCATACCAGTGACACAGTTAAGGCACGATTCAATCTATACAAAGGCAGTTAAGTCTCACTTTCAATATTCATCACACTAGTATACAATTAAATAATAATTCAATATAAATTAAAATAATATATTAATTCGCGTTAAAATGCATGTCAATTTCGAACAATTCTTCAGTTTTATCACGTAAAATCTATTAGGATTATTAAAAAAATATCTTCATGATACTTTGGGAATACGGTCATATCAACATCCTTCATTTTGTCATGTTAAATAACTGGATGGATTTTGCTTCAGTACTCATAGAAACAAACCCCTATATATGCTGCGACGTAACTGAAGAACTGAAAAAATTTATCAATAACTGATTCCCAAATTTAATTGTGAATAACTAATGATTGTTTATGCAAAATGGTCTTAAACAAAACGCCCTTATAATTAGAGTTACAATTTTGTATAAAAAATGAAAAAAAAACATGAAAAAATTAAACAAAACATATCTGGCAGTGAAGGAAACATTCATCTCACTCAGATATACTCGGGTATATCTCATATCACAAAATAAAACTCAACCAAACCGTGGGTGTGTGTAGGTGTCAACATGCCAAAAATAAAGAAGCAAAATTCAAACCAAAATAAAAAAAAATTGTTAAAATATATTGATGTTAATTAATAGGTTTGATTGAAAAATACTGGAAGGATTTCATCACTAAAAGGAACGTTCAAACTAATCTAGGGTAAGGCGAATAATACACAATTTATTGAGAGTCGCAAATTTTGGTCCAACATCATTTTTTGAGCTTGTGAAATACTGCATTGGTAGATATGGAGATGGATCATGGATTTATATCAAATTGTGATCGATCTATTAAGATACATAAAAAATCCTTCTTTGGAAAAATCAAATGCTTTCTCATGTTTTTTATTCTCTGATCCAGAGAAAGTCAATCACTTTGTAAAAATTGAGCACCGGGTAATGTCGCAGCGCAATTGTAGCCGGTCTTTTTGGACGCTGGCCAAGCAAATCGAAAAGAACTTCTCAAAAAGTAGCCTTCCACTGCTTACCTGCCAGTATGGAACGATTGTAACCGACCCAAATTCTAAGGCGGAAATGCTTGCCAAGATGCCAATGCCAAAGTGAAGTAATCTTCAGGCATAAGACCATAAGACCGGTGTTCTTGTTGCTCGACATCAACAAAGCTTCAGGTCCGGACTTGATTCCTGCCATTGTACTGAAGAGATGTGTAGCGGAGATTGCTCCAGTTCTTTCGTGTCTCTTCCAGATATATTACGACTCCAGCACATTCGCAGAAAACTAGAAATTTGCTCATATCCAACCCATCCCAAAAAAGGATCTAAGAACGGCGCTTAATACACGCTTATAGCTTTGCGTTCTGTTATAAGTAAGGTGACGGAGAGGTGCATACATCGGGAGCTGCCTTCCTCTCTGGCCGCAAGATATCCGTCGTAATTCACGGGCTCTCCTCTTCATCCCACAATGTCAACGCGGGTGTTCCCCAGGGCTCCGAGATTGTTCATCTTACATATCAACAACCTCCTTTCCTGTATGATCAATTCAATCCATAGCTTTGCTGATGATAGCACTGTGCATGGAGGAATTCGGAGCGACAAGCCGAAAGCTGAAGAGAAGAAGACTTCCTCTCTGACAAGGGACCCGAAGGTTATCACCCTTTGAGGACGCAATAATCTCGTGCAGTCTAATGATTTCCAAAATACAATGACTAGCAAGAAGCGCGCTAGCGCCCATCCGGTTTCGATTAATGAGCTAGCACTTGATCTGGCACGAACACAACTCGTCAATAGCGGCAACTGGTGCGAAAAAGCTAGGCTATTTGTTTAGGACTAAGATTAGCTTTTCTCCACATGACCTCCTCACTCTGTACAGGATCCAGATAAGACCTAGCCTCGATTACTGCTCACATGTTTGGGGTGCTGTCGCCCCAACTACAATATCTCCGGTTGACTTTGGACTCCCATCCTAACATTGTCGAACTTCGTACATCCAGAACTGGCCGATACGACCTCTTTTTTGTCCTTGGGGTATCGATATTGTGGAAAAATTTACCTGAGTAGGCTTTTCCCAAGACAGTTCAAAAATCGGATTAACAAAGTTTCGTATTTAGTATTTGCGCTGTTGCATCGTTATAAAAAAAGTGACCTTGAGAAGTACATAACCACTCAGTAAGTTGTCGTCTAAAATGCTATTCAATAGAAAAATATTAAGCCTTTTCGTATTGCATTTAACAACATCATATCCGTTAAATAAGTAACTTCTACAGGAAAGCAACATTGGAATATTCTACAATGAGAAAATTTACCCAGGATATGAAAAATTGCATTTCCTTCATTTTCGAGCAGTAGAGGGAATCAAGGATCAAGTTCAAAACCCCTGTACATTAGGACTAACAATATAATCCGACACTTTACTTGTTGCAAAAGATTTTGATGGATCCTACTTAAACGTTATTTCAGCAATTTTCGACCCGACGGTGTTTAAAAAATTTAATATTTTTAGGCTCTATAGAGAATTTGGTAATATCATTCGTGTAGCAATAGTTTTTCTAGACTTTAAATTTTGCTATTGTTTCGATAGAGACTAGACTACAATGGGCCATAGTGAATGATCATGTGTAATATTCGCCTTAACGAAAATGTAATAAAATAAGTCCAAATAAACAATCCAATACTGACTATATCTTTGGGAGTCCCCAAAGCCGGTTAAGACTACGGATGACCCTATCACGTTTTTAAATGACAACCAAATATTGCGGACACCTATGCGTCACCAACAACAACGTCAACGAAATAAACAAATGCAAGTGAAACGTATGAATGTGGAATATAGACATGGAGCAACTATTCACAGTCACCATTTTATCAGACTCTAACTTGCACTTAGCCGCGTTATTTAAGGCTTCCTTATCCATCTTGGATCGTATCTCGTTCTTATAGGGAATGAAATCCTCCCAGATGGGACTTTTGGTGTTATTGATAGGGGTGGAAGGGTAAAGGTCATTAGCGTTGGGGCAGGGGGTGGTGCGAGGGTTAGAAGCGTGAAGTTGATCGAGTTTCTGTTGTTGATGGAGGAGGATGTTAGTATCGAGTGGTGAGTGGTGATGTTTAATGGAAGGTGCTACTGACATGAGTTCCTGCAGTTTCTGCGACTTCTCGGTCTCCTCCGACTTGATCTTGTCGTAGTCGGCTTGGAGTTGCTGCTGGGCCAGCTGCAATTTCTGGTTGGAACTGCAATACAAAAGAAAATAGTAAGGACGTTTAAATGAAATAAAAAAAAAAACGGAAATAACAATACGAGGGTCACTATTTATATTTTGAGCATTGGCAACAAGAGTGCTTAGGCTCCATCTGACGTTCCCAAATGCGAGTTATCATCTTTAACACGTTGGATGCCCATCAAATTGAGGTGTTTTTCTACCAGTACCAACTATAAAATTTCAGTTTACCTGCTCTAAATTGTTACTAAATTCAATATACAGTATTTTTTTCGCAAAAATTGGTTAATTTTTCACAAATAACACAATGACGCATATGTTGCGTCGAGAGCACTCAGCAATAATTTTTGGTCCTTAGGTCCACGACGTTCATCTGTCACGTTATACATACATTGGTTTATTTATTTTTTCGAATACAAAAATAAAAATAATATTCAGGCTTGCTTCGAAGACGACACAATGTCGTCATGGACACTGCTACAGAAAACCGCATGACGACACAGTGTCGTCATGGGCATAAAATGTGTTAAACATAAGCTTGTTCATTTCAGCACGATTTATGTTGTTGATAGCGATTTGAAAACTGTGTCTCAGTTAAATAATGGAATTGACTAGTGAACATTTGCGTGCGATGATCCGGTAAATCAAAAACTACGGATATGGAGTTTTTCAAAGTTATTCAGTTCTGAGACTGATGAGGACGGTCCAAAAATGATACATATTCTATTGTATTTAGTATGCTTCCAGTCGTGATGTAGACAATGAAGTAAGAAGTTGAATATTTGCATTTGAGAATTTTCATTCGCGCCAGTAATAGCTAAGCTGAAATAACATAATACTTACTCCTTGATCTCGTTGATGAGCTGCTGTTTCTCAGCGATTTCATCCCTGAGCGCAGCCACCTGTTTTTGGTGAACCACCCTCAATTGATCCATCTGCTGCTCCAGAGCCTGTCGAAGCTCGTTGGCCTCCTTCTTTTCACTTTCGCTCGCACTTTGCACCTGAAACAAAATTTGTTCGTTGTATCTTCAGAAATATACAGGATGTCTTCAAAGTTGGGACTTCCTTTTATACTCGGATAGATCTTGGAAAAATAGGCAGTTCAAATCAATCAACCCTAAACAAAACCTAATACGGCCCTGCACCTCGATCAGATCAAACGTGAACACGTAGGATGCAGATCAGTACTCAATCCAGGCTGACCGCGTTTGTAAACAAATCCTTTACACATCGGTTCAAAAAAATGGCACGCTCTTACAGCAACATCGTAGACCATATTATTTTAATTCAAGGTGAGTGTCCTCGAAATGCTACCGATGCTTTGCGAGTGCATGCAGATCGTTTTTAAATATCCTTAGTGATTTATTTTTTTGTTTAAGGCGAAATGAAATGTTTAGTGTATAAAACTGTGGTGAACACGGTTGACGAACATTCGGGAAGCCTATATCAATCAGAGCTGTACTTGAAATTTCTTTTCGATGAACGGTGAGTACTTTCATTTATTTTTTTACTTTTTCGCTGTTTCACCGCACATTAGCTTTGCTATAACAAACGAAGTTGTTTCTGAAAAGGAAAGTCCAAACTTTCAGGACACCCTGAATGTACACGAAACAATACCCGACAAACATCAATATAGACATTACTGTTTTACTAACAAGCAATAACTCGCCCATTGTATTCATTCTAATTTAGTTCATATAATCATGAGTGAACATTTATGCTGCCATCTTATAGTATTTTTTCCCAACTGAAACATGATAGATAGATGTCCGTTTTTAGACTTTTAGACGTTTAGAGATAATTGATTTTTTATCGAGCAATGACTTGAGAGATGTCAATTTAAATCATTATTTATTTTGCCCAATGTCCAATGATTTTACCTGTTCGGCAGCCTTGAGTTTCGCGCACTCCTCTCTAAGAGAGTCGATGCTTTCCTCCAGGATCCTCTTCTTATTTTCTGCTTCTCGCATCGACTCTTGCAAACTCTTCATTCTGGCCTCGTGTTGAGAAATCAATAGCCTACATTCTGCTAATTCTTTCTCATATTCAGTCACCTTTCTGTTACTATCCTGCTCTTTATTCTCAATTTCCTGTAAGAAGAAAAATACTGTTGTAACAAATACTCCAAGAACGTGGATTGTATTTCGTTTCTCTTGGTATGGTCTTTCAATAGATTTAATAATACGGTAGCGGACAAAAGTTTGGAAACATTCTTAGTAATTTTTAAAAAGTGCGCTAATTTGTTATTCTTTATTATTAAGGACTATTGTTTTCTCATATAGTTTGATTACAGTCTTGAGGATACAAATGACAATTTGTGTTTGCTGTGGTACTACATACTAGCATTAAAATACCTTCATATTATTTTATGATCAAAAATGAGGCGGAAAAAGTATGGGAACATACTTTTTATCACAAAATTAAATACAATAACTCTACAAAAAGATATAAAAATACTGTTTAGCTAATACTCGGTAGCATAGGCTTCAGCATTCAACACTTCCTGCCATCCGCTGCTCATAGAATATGTCTGTTGGGATACTTCTAAATAATTCAATCACTTTGCCTCTTAAATCTTTTGACAATTCTTTGACTTTTGCCAATCTCACTGATGTTAATATTTATCGCAGGCAATATCACAGTATCGCAGAACGAATAAATACGGTAAAACCGAAATGTTTCCATACTTTTGTCGTTAAAAAAACTGAATATTGAGAAGATAAACCTTGTGTTAGTACGAAAGCCAAAAATAGACTCAAATATTTATATTATCTGTTCCTTCACAATTTCAATTTAAGTATATGAAATAGTTCATAATGTTAATATTTGTTTCCAAGCTTTTGCCCGCTACTGTACATCTTTATTTTCCATTATATGACATAATAAACTATGGTGATCTTCCATTCAAACCTTGTACAAATCACTATTATGCAAAATGTTGGATTAACCTAACATAAAATCATAAAAATAAAAACAAATAAATAACTTTTATTTTCTGGGGTGACAGTGCGACAATAAATGTAATGGTTGCAATCTTACGGTATTAAAAAAAACTAAAACGAGTTCTCTTCCAATTTCAAATACTTATTTACAACATACATGCAGAAAACGAGTATAGACTGCACACGTCTTCTACCAGATGATTAAGATCTTATCAGAAAACGTACAAAAATTCCCGAAAAAAAAGCTGGAAGGTGACCATGCTTTAGATTAAAGGCAAAATCAAATTTGTTACTTACCCTAAGTCTTTGTGTGAGATTAGTGACCTCCGTCTTCATTCTGCTGATGTACAACCTAGCAACTGTAAATTCTTCCTCTAGTTTAGCGGCGTCGTTGCTGATCTTCAACTGTTCAGCATCACCAGCGCCACCTATTACAAGAATTATGTCAAAAATGGAGTGGTTAGACCGCCATGTGTGCATTACAACTTACAAACGGTACTATAAAAGTTTTACAATATGACATCAAACGGACGCAGGAGGCTACATGTTATTGCACGTTGCGACATGTCCATGAGTGCATAGTTGATTTAGTGGTTCATTCGTATTGACAGTGGTCTATGGCATCGTGGTCACGTAGTGAGATAAGCGCAGTTTATTATTACATGAGGCGAGATTTAGATAATATATCTATTCTACCATCTAACCCCTAAGTATATTGAACGTTGTGGAAATTACATTGAACAAAGTCAATAAATAAAGCTGCATTGTAAAACTTTTATAGTACCCTTTGTATATCGATACCACGCTCAGAATTTTCCGGTTTTGCAGCGGTTAGTACATGAATAAGAATCAAATTCACATATGTCAAAGTTGGCATCAATGAATGCTTCCCAGTGGTGCAGCGCTGCAATAATTGTCGAGACGTTGCAAAACGGTGATTTATTTCAAATGCTAACTAACTGCTAACAAAGACTGCAGCAAACGTTGAATGTGCAATAGTGACAGGTTCGAGCCCCGCAAAAAAATGAGTATTTTGTAAAGAAAAAATGGTGTCAAGTAGGTTGACTCTGCACTTCCCAACGCCGGCATCAAGGAGTATGTTCAACACAGGTTAAGACTCTAAGAAAAAAGTTAGTTACGAATATGTATCTAAGAGAAATTAAAAAGTTCAATTCAGCCACCCCCACTTCTTAAACTCTACATATTTTTTTTTGTGAAAATAATCAGGAGCTTCTGAAAAGTCAATGAACGAAGTTCGAGCAATTTTTATTTTGTTCACGTTTTTGCCCCCAGCTTGGCCGCCATAGCTTCTCAAGTTACAGACCGGCCAAGGATTAGCAAAAAGACAGACAGACTGACCGACGGAAATGAGTGATATCGTTTTTCGTGATGAACATGTCATATAACTTGAATAGCGCTTCTGGAAGCGAGTGCCGTAGACTGAAAAAAGAGCGGGACGCTTAAGAGTACTTCTGAGAACGAATGCTTTTATCACAATTGAAGACAGGAGGGGTGGAAATGGTAGGGAGTGCTTTCAGCTCCCAGGATACATCAAATATCGAAACACTTTATGGACCTCAGTCTAGAGGAGGGCTCAGTGCCTCGTGAAGCCAAAATAATGAGAAAAATGAGCATTTCAGGGAAAAAATACTAAAAACAAGTTAATAATACAATAAAAAAATAATAGAGATAATGGGTCCGTGGACGGTCTGATATACATGCATACATACATACATACATACAAGTTTTTACGGTTCGTTCAACGTGCCACTTACACGAAAGCAATATAATGACTACTTGTGGAGTGTAGTCCATGCATGTATTTATATGGTGCAATAGGGCTGTAGTGCTAATGTAGTGGAAATGAAATGAATGATATGCGTGTACCTAGTGTACCTGTGCCAGTACCTCCTAAAGTAGTTCCAATTTCTCCTAATTCCCTAAGTAGATTGCTAAGCATTTCTGCTATGCGCTTCTTCTGGTGGCTGCTCATGTCGCGCAATTGTTGCAGCTCAGTCGTGGTGGTGTTCAAGCTGGCTTGCTTTTGCATTAATTCTTCGCTAAGTGTCTCCATCTGCAATTTAAAAATATTAGGAATAAGTATAATTCACTGGCAACAAAAAAATACAAACTGTCTCCCTTTGGTCTGATTACCTACATACCAGACAAACCAAAGAAGAGGGGAAGAAGAAAGAAACGAATGGAGGGAAAGGGCAAAGAGGGTGGGGTGTTATTTTGGTTGATGAATAACGTTCAAGGTGTGCTATTTACCTCCTTATTTTTCGCTTCGACCTCTTGACTCTTCTGGTCATAGTTCACAGCCAATTCTTCGAGTGCTTGAAGTACTTCTTTCACTTCCTCCTTAGCACTCTCGTTCTCTTGCTGAATTCTATTCATCTCAGCTTGCAAGGCTTCATAATCCCTGAAAAAAAAAATCAACTTGTAGAACCAAAGTGCCTTGTAGTATATAAATATAGTTGTTTTGACAAAAAGTCATAGAGCTGATAATTATAGAGCCTCTGGGCTACTGATAATATTGCTTTAATTCTCCACATGAGTCCTATCTCATACTAACGAGCCCCAGTAAGGATGAACCGCTGCTGTTGGCAACTGGTTGAGTGGTTGACATACAGAAAGTGACTAGTAGCTCAAATCAGCTTAAAGCATTATATACTTTTGTTCCTACTAAGAATGTACAGACAGTAAACAGATTTTCTACCGTACCTTCTGGTACTTGCGATAAGTTCGTCCTGTTCCAGCATCTGTTCTTTGAGTTTCTCGACGTACTGACTCTGCTGGTTGATCTCCTCATCCTTTTCGTCCAACTGCTGGTATAATCGCTCCCTTTCTTGTTCTAGTTTCGTGCGTTCTTCTATACCCAAAGTGGAGCCTATCATCAACGCTGGAGTTGCGGGCAAAGGACCTGAAAAAAAAAACAAAGTTAGTTTTCAAAAACTCAATTTCGAATTTTAGATCATTTTTACTGAATATATAATTAATGAAGTATTGGGATACAGTATTTTATTTAATGGTCAGAAAACTTCATAACAGATACCAGGCACAAATCATATGAGATTGGACCACCGGTCATTTTAAATGAAAATTTGTATAAAGCCTTATAGGAGATACAGGGTGTTGAAGTTTGGTGCCTCCGCGTCTGTGGGTAAGCCTGCCATTTTAAGAAAATTAACTCGTCTTCTAGTAGACTTAACGATATAATAAAAATCGCGTGAATACATATACTATATACAGGGTGTACCAACGAAAATGAAAAGTAGTTTAGTAGAACTATAAAAGATATACGACAATGGTCTGCGCAACAAGATTGAGATCTTATAGGTGTGTTAAGGCCCGTATCGTCAGTCGTTCCTACAATTGTAGGGCGCGTTTATGGCCTCCTTGATTGTCATACTCCCTTCTCTCCTCCAAAAATTTCTAGATTGCACCTGTCCGGTGTCAGCGTCAGCGCTTTCCTATTGTGAAGATATGTTTTCTTTTCAAATTGTAGGACATTTCAGGCTGATAAAACATGATATAACTCAGAAGCAAGCACAATTTCATGCAAATAGATGCATAGCATATTAAAGAAATTCTTTTTTACACCGAAGCAGCCGCGCAAGCAGAAACCTAAATGCCAGGACACCCCGGTTGGTATGATGATACCAAAGAAGCTTAATCAGATTTATGAACTGCCTAAGGTTAATACAACTGGGAAAAGCCTCCTCTTCTAGATTGTTCCACAATCTCGATACCCTATGGACAAGCAAGCGGTCATATCGGCCAGTTCTGGATGTACGAAGGTCGCGACGGTTAGGATTTGAGGCCAAAGTCTGACGGGTCTGTCTGGCAGGCACATCGCGAGGCGGCATCATAGAGGAGAGCGTAGCGGTAAAAGATAGCCGACCAGCCGAAATGAACGGTTGTTTGGTAGAACTCGGCCATCCATCGAAACTGGATGACCGCTAGAGCGCTTCTGGTTAGTCAAGGTACAGTACTGTGTCGCTGCTAGTCTTCTTTTCCTGTATGTTGAGTGCTATCATGAGGAAAGCTGTGGATCGGATTGATGGTACAGCAAAAAAGATCGTTGATATGTCAGAGGAACAATGTCGAAGACAAGACCGATCGCTGCGGAACACTCGCGTTGACATTGTGGGATGAAGAGGAAAACCAGTCAATTACGACTGATATCTTGCGGCCAGAGAGGAAGTCAGCCACCCAGCTGCAAAGCTTCTCCAAAAGGATGGAAGTTTGCATAAGAGGGCAGCATGCCACAGCTGATCTAACGCTTTCGTGATATCAATAGCAACGACATGACGACCACCATAAGACTGGATGAGTTTACTCCATAGCTGCGTGACGTAAGCTAGGAGGTCCCCGTGGATCACTGCTGCCTGTCGCTAATCAAGCCGCGACGTTAAAGGCACTCCAGAAGTTTCCAGTTCCAATCTTAGATCCTTATTTGAGATGGGCTGGACGTATCCCAAAAAATATTTAGGAATCCGTGTCGAACGCACGAAAGCTGAGGAAATACAGAAATACGGTGTTTCACAAAAGGTGTCTCACTTTTCAAGTTTTGCATAGAAGCGCCGAAACGGAAGATGCTTCAAGGACTGTACTAAGAGGATCCTATTTTCATGCTGTTCATAATATTTTTATATATTCTGGAACCTAGCAACACTGATCTGTGACCCAATAAATATCTGTTTAAAACGAACAATACCTGAAGGTTTTTCCTGCACGATGCTCTCCTCCATACCACTGACAGGAGTGACGGCATCCGTAATGAGCAGGTCCTGTAGGTTGATCTGCTCCTCCGGCTTCACCGTCTCGCCGCTCCTCCAACGGTTCAACTCCTCCTCCAATTTCTCCACTTTGCCCTTTAGTCGAGCTACCTTCTCCTTTTCCTTCTCGTATCGCCGCTTCCATTCTTCGGCTGTCAGTTCCTCGTTCACGCAAACCACATTCTTCACCGTCTTCGCTCTATAAGAAATAATGTGAATTTTGGAATTATTCCATATCATATACAGCCAAAAAAAAAACTTTGTTAGATAACGGTGGATTTATGCAAAAATCTCAAATATAATGTAGCTTGATCATACAGCAAAACAATAAATTGTGTATTGCACAAGCACAGCTTAGATGACAATCAGCTGTGAAACTCCTGTAAGGGGCAAAAATGGCCGCCATATCGGCGGAGAAAATCGCATGTAGATTCTTCTAGTACAACAATGAAAAAGGTTTTAGTGTTCAGCAGCGGCTGGTGTTACCAGGTATCATTCTAGCGTCCGCAGATATTCCTTGCAATCGTAAAATGATTATATTTCGATATGATCTAGTGTAGTTTGTGTGAATCAATAATGATAAAAAGGAGTATGTTTGTCCAAAAAGAAGCGACTGATGACTATTTATTTATCAAAAAGCTTCAAAATAAATTTGTATTCTAAGCTGCTGTGATGTAATCGATCAATTGCATTTTCAATGTGAGCTGTGTTAAAAACACCAGACAAAAACAACCTTCACTCAATCACAAGGTCGCGAAAAAAAAACGAGAGCTCATGAATATTTAAATGAAAGATTTAAGAAGCATCAGTAAAACTAAACCATTTGCAGAAATATTTTTTTTATTCTTCGCTCATACTAAACAAACTCGTTTAAAAAATGTATGTGTTGTGGCATATTTTCCAAGTGAGAAGCGTATAATTTTTATAACTAACTTTTCTAGGTATTTAAAATAACTACCGTCCGCTTTTACATTAAATACTCGCCGTTTATGTAGAACCATCCTAGCTCAGCAGTTTCAGGGTTGATTGCGGTGTTTTTAACAGTGTTCATGTATATTGAAAATGGAATGGATTGAGAATATCGCAGCAGCAAAGAACGCATTGCAAAAGTAAATATTTTTCTGTTTATTGTAAATAACCTTTTTCATAAATAAATACTTCGTTGCTTCTTTTTGGACAACCAGATTCCTTTTTATTATCGGTTCACACAAACTACACCAGATCATATCGGAACAGTATAACTTTTACGATTGCAAATAATCTCTGCGGCCGCTGGCAGGGTACGTGGCAACACTGGCTGCTGCTGAGCACTAAAGCCTCTTGCATCGTTGTATTGGAGGAATTTACATTCGACTTTCTCCGACGAAATGAAGGCCGCTTTAGACAGTGACAAGAGTTTCAGAGCTGATTGTTATCTAAGATGTGGCACAAGCCACATAATATCTATTAAACAAATGTACATTCCAAAAACTTGGCAACCATGCATTTTTTGGAAAAGGGTTTTGAAAAGTTTCTGGATATCAAAAAAGCAATTTGTGGACGACGTGAAACATGACCTAGGCAATGAGCTCAGAGGTCATTTGGAGGTCGAGTTTATAAATTCCTACCATTTTTGGTAGCAGATTAATGTCGAGCACGATTTTATACAACAGAGTACGTTTACAAAAAAAACTGAAATGTCATTTATAAAAGTATTAAAGAGCAAAATACTGAATATTTGGAGCAGATCTTGAAAGAAAGAGGATGTGAATGTGAAAGTCATCAAAGTTTATAGCATATAATTACTAAAGATATAATTATCTGGTTTCGATAACTGCGCAGTTAAAATGCGAGAAACTATTTTAGCATGAATTCGATAATTTATTAACAAATTTTTCGACATGGCAATGAACCGGAATTCCATCTATTATGAAATATTAATTGCATGTTGACGGATTTAAATTCGACACAGGGTACTCACAGACCGGAATATCCAGAATTTGTAAGAAAAACGTTGTAATTAGCTGTTTTACAACGGTATTATATTCTTAGGGGTATATGAAAAGGTCTCTCATCGAGAGATATAAAAAATTTTGCTGTGCAACTTTTTTTTATTAAACCAAGTCGAAAAAATCACCTTTTCGCGTATATTCAAATAGTTATGAATTTTTGATATAAGTGATCTATGAAAAGTTGCAGCAGATGTGAATATCTTCAAAATTAGACCTTACGCAGCCACTTTGTTGTAACGATCAATTTGTTATTACAAAAAAAGCCAAAGACTGTCGATTTCTACACATGTTTTACCACGAAATGCGTAACGGTAAATCTGAAATTATAGCCAAAAGTTAAAGCATTTGTGGTGCTCGACTTTTTTCTTTTTTGAAAAAAATTTCCTCCCTTGACGAGCTGTCGAGCAACTTTGGCGTTATAAATATAATAATAATAAAAATTATCCGAGATGACCTGAAAACCCGTTGCTTCCTCTATTATCACAGGTGTGTCTCTGTTCTCCGAGATAATGATAGATCTACTTTGAAAAGGATCTCCTAGTTGGCGCTCATATACACTGACAACCAAGTTTGGCTTACGGCTTGAGTTAAGAGAACGAATTAGTTAAAGATAGAAAGAGATAGAAGACGGCTGGATAGCGAAGCTCATCACCGCGTTGCCTAGCAACGATGACGCGCCAATCTGCCGCGAAGCCAATATGTCCTTGAATTAAGATGTACGTTGAAAATATGCGTTAGTTTATTCTCTACGCCCAAATAATGGTTTCATTTTATTTTAGCTATCTTCGAGAAGAATATGTTGATCAATGGATTTACATCGCATTAAAAGAGATCCTGGTCTCACGGCTTGTCAAATACATTCATCCAAAACAAATTAAAGACATGCTATGTACAAAACTGATATGGTCCTCTGTGGGTGACTATCAAAAAGTCATTATTGTGCGGAAGCATAATTTCCTTTTTTAAATTCACGCCATCCAGTTGGTTGATGTCGCAGCGGAGCGCGGAGGTCTCGTTCGATAAAGTTTTGTTCCGACACAGTTCAGTCCCCATCATACGTTGGAACAGTGAGGAGCGTGTTTTGGCGTTGATGACTACTTTTCGAGAGGATGTTCTGTGATCGCAACCCAGCGCACCTTTCAAAATCGCATTTATTTAGCCTTAATGGCCCCTGCCGCGGACTGGAAATTCATTGTTACGTAGGCGACTACCTCCTGATAAGCTGCAAGTGCGACAAGACGAACAACTGAAGTCAGTCGGTCCATCAGATCACCTGAAAAGATCGAGGCAGTGACATCTTCAATGTTGCGATCACCACGGCGTCTGCCCTTGAAGTTTCCTATGTTCTGCGATGAGAATTCTTCATAATGATCTTCATTTCCGTCATTACAAGGTGACAATTGTGCAGGGACTTTCTGAACATGACTTCAACTCTTGGATGAACCCGTGTAAGTTTCTTCTCGAAGCCGTTCCTGAGGACGGTATTGTTTTTTTTAAGAAGTTATGAAGCCAATTTTCATTTGTGTGGATCCATCAACAAACAAAACATGTGCTACTGGGCTGACACCAATCCTCAAGAATTGCATTTACCTAAGGTTACAGTGTGTTGTGCAATTTCCTCAGATGGAATTATTGGTTCTGGTTCTTTTAGGTAAATGAAGTCGCAGTGTCAGTGAATCCGGCTAGTATGTAAACAGATTACAGGAATTTTTTTCCACTCCTAGACGAATTGGACTTTGGGGACACTTGTTTCCAACAAGACAGTGCAAGGGCACAAACTTCAAGAGCATCGATGGCTGTTTTGAGGGAACACTTTAGAGAGCGCCTCATCTCAATTAGGGGCGATTTGGAATGGCCGGCTCGTTCTCCCGATTTGGCCGCAAGTTTTTTTCTATTGAGTTTCTTGAAATCCCATGTTTATGTGAACCATCCAAGAATTTTACAAGATTTGAAAACCAACATCCAGGAAGAAATTGCCAACATAACACCTGCTATGCTGGCAAGACTTATGACAAACGCCAGAAATCGGTTTACTCAGTGTATGGAGAATGGAGGACGTCACTTATCTGATGTGATCTTCAAAACTATCTTAAACAAAACTTTAGGGCCTACATCATAACAAACAAATACATTGTTTTCTGATTCGTACGATGGGTTTTATTCAGTTTTGAAAACAGGAAATTATGCTGCCGTATCCTGTAGTAATAGTAATAATTTGAACTGACCTCTTTCCGAACTCCAAGGTAGACTTAGTCTCAGCCTCGTTGAAACTAGCAGGTGAACAACATATGACGATGGTTGTCCTTGCGTTACCTCCCAGAGATTCTTGCAGGATCCTCGTCAGTTTGGAATCTCGGTACGGAATGTGAGATTTGTTGCCATCGGCCAGCGCGCTTATTACATTGCCTAGGGCCGACAAAGATTTGTTGATGTTCTTCGCTTCGTCCAGCACAGTGCCTGGAAATGAGCAACAATATTACGATACAGGAAACAAGTAATAGCGATGAAGTAGCCTGATTGCTGTCTATACGAGAAGCTATCTTTGTATTACTCATAACCAAGTGCCCGGTCATAAAATCACCCTACTTGTATAGTACGAGGGTGAATCAAATATGAACCGGACTTTTGTTTTAGTAACTTTATTGGTATAGTAAATACAAGTTCATTTAGATCTTATTTTTATACATAGTCTCTTCTCTTATTAATGCATTTTGCCCACGGGTCGGAAGTTTTTTAATTCCCCATCAAAAAATGAAGCGGGTCGTGTCAGTAGCCGATTGTGCACGAACGTTTCCACACGTTCGTCGTCGTCAAAGTGGTGACTTCCCACGTCTTCTTTAACTAGCAGTACACCTCACGAATTCCAAAATACCGTTGCAGGCACTTTTCCTGCAGAAAGACTGGTCTTGGCTTTTCGCGCTGCTGCCTTTCCAGACTTTCGCGACTCCATGGAAATGCTTTTTGCCAGCCGAATTCTTGTGTCTTTGAAACTGTCTTATCGCCGAACTGTGCTGTTAAGTGTTAATCGACCCAAAATTTCGGAAGGTTTTCGCCCTCCCGCGACAAAAATTTTATTATAATGCGTTGCTCAGACATGATGCTTGATTCACCCTCGTATTTATATTCCTAACTGAAATCGCATAACAAACAGAAATCTAATATCTTTCTGTCGTCCGACCAAGACAGAACCGTGTAAAGCTGTTTCATGCTTAATGGCAATCGTTAGCATGGTCAAGCTTTGGTCTTTTGGTAGGACAACGAACGAAAGCAGATCAAAGTATCATCTATTTGAAGTATAAGGTCTACAGTAGCGGAAAAAAGTTTGGAAACGAATATTAGCATTATTATGAGCTATTTCATATACCTAAATTAAAATTGTGAAGGAACAGGTGATATAAATATTAAAGTCTACCTTCGGCTCCCGTACAAGGTTATATCTTATTAATATTCAAATTATCTGAAAATAAAAACACGGGTTTTTTTAAATACCACATTTTTTGTAACGACAAAAGTATGCAAAAGTTTCAGTTTTGCCGTATTTATTTGTTTTGGGATACTCGGATATTGCGTGCGGTAAATATTGACATCAGTAAGAATGGAAAAAGTAAAAGGATTTTCAAAAGATTTAAGAGACAAAGTAATTAAATTATCTAGAAGTGGTATCACAAATGTTGATATTTCTCAAAGATTAAAAATGAACAAAGGGACGATTTCCAAAATTATTAGTAAATATCAAGAATACGGATAAAAAGCCACGCAGCCCGGGTGCGGAAGACCGAAAAACAAACGATTATGTTTTGGATCGCTACATTAAACTTTTGTCCCATGAAGATCCTCGAATGCCAGACACACAGATTTTCAAAAGCTTAGTAGAAGAGGGTGCCGAGAATCTTTCTGTCAGAACAGTGCAGAGACGCTTGGTGGGTTTTGGGCTTTTTGGTAGGCGTCCAGTGCAAAAGCCTCCTCTCATTTAAAGAAAATCGTATTTCTCGGCTTGAATTTGCTAAAACTCATCTAACTTGGACAGAACAACAATGGAATCCAGTTTTATGGAGCGATCAAAGCAAATTTAACTTGTTTGGATCTCACGGTACGGCATATGTGAGACGTCCAATGCGAAAAAGTATCAGTTGCCAACAGGTAAGCACGATGGATGCAACATCATGGTTTTGAGCTGTTTTTCTAGCTCTGGAATGGGTCCAATTGTTAACATTTTTGGGAAAATTGATCAAATACTTTACAAAGATATTCTTAGTGAGACATGCTCCCTTTTGCTGAAGAAAAAATGCCTTTACGATGGACATTCCAGCAAGATAATGCCCCCAAGCATACCTCAAAATTCGTAAAGGACTGTTGATCAAAAAATGTTAATGATCTTACATGGCATTCGCAATCCCCGGACCTAAACCCTATAGAACATCTCTGGGAGCATGCTAAAAGACAACTGACAAGAAAAACTTAAAAAATAGGAACGATTTATTTGATTATGTAAAAAACATCTGACAAAATATCCCAACAGACGTCTGTAAAAAAATAGTGTCTTCTATGAGCAGCAGATGTCAGGCATTGTTGAACGCTAAATGCTATGCTACCAAATATTAGAAGTAGTAGTAGTATTTTTCAACTATTTTTGTAGAGTTATTGTATTTAATTTTGTAATAAAAAATATGTTTCCATACTTTTGTCGTCTCATTTTTCGTTATAAAATAATATGAAGGTATTTCAATCCTAGTCTGTAGTACCACAGCAAACACAAATTGTCATTTGTACCATTAAGACTGTAAGCAAACTATATAAGAAAAAAAATAGTCCTTAATAATGAAGAATAAAAAATTAGCGGCCTTTTTAAAAATTACTAAGAATGTTTCCAAACCTTTGTCCACTACTGTATATAAATACGACACCACAAGTATCATTTATTACTAGAATAAACAGCCGTGAATAGCAGCTATCTGTTGTATCTCAGTTCGCGTCGAAGGCTGAGTCATCACTTGATGCCGTCGATTCTGGCGATATAGTAGTAGTCTAGTAGTCTACTTGCTATTGAAAACTAATAATACTGCATTACGTTGGTCCTGCCAATAGAGAACTAACCGGGGGACCAAGCCTATCTCTAGGTAAAAAAATAAGTTCTTATCCCAGTGTGTAAGAGCCATAGACCCACGAATATATATTTATAACAAAACTACTCAATTTAACAAATGCTAACAGCAAAAAATATTCTCCATTCAATAATGGTAGGGTTTCTGCTTTTTACTCATTTGTCATCTTCCATAGATCTAAAAATTATTGTACAGGAAATAAATAAAGGTTTAAAAAGCCTTAAAACACCATTTGCTTTAACAGTCGCTACATAACGTACTTCACGAAAAGTTTTTTCCTGGATTTCTCAAGTAACAGTATTCAAAACCAAATTGTTGTCCCTATGATTTAAAACAAATTTATAAAAGCTTTTTGATAAAAAATACGAACATATGTTACAAGCGCATGAGAAAAACATCCTATCAATAAGGATATTTTTCACTCTAACTTGTGTATAATCCTGCTTAGATCTACGATGCATACAAGAGACAAAACAAAATTCTCAATTTCATGACTATTGTGGCAAACCTGTTTTTTTTTCAAACCTCAAATGTTACACGACACATTCCGTTTCAAACCATGATTTTTTTATTATGCTTACCCTCGGCTCCAGTTTTCGATACTTTTTCGGATCCAGCCAAATCTACTAAGTACAATTTTCCAGACAACTTTTTCTGGTTTTCGAGGTTCTCTTGCTTGACGTTTATGAGGAATACGGAATGCGATCTGGATGAATGTTCATTCATATCTGAAAATATTAAATATGTTAAAAATATTCGAATTAGTCTTAGGGAATTGATCTTACTTGTTACAGCTATATGTCTATTGGATTTGCCCTCTTCAATTGCTTCAAATACTTCCTCAGGACTCGAGACAAACCGTTCTGTTGCTCCTTTCACATACGGTACCCTGTTTTTATCTTCATGGACGCTCAAATTCACTTTTGATACTGCAAAAAAACATATAGATATGAAATATACTGCGATAAAGTAGAAAACGACACTAATTATTGAAAATGGTTAGTCAAAAAGCCAGTATAATACAAAAAAAACAAATTTTTAACAAGGAGCCTGAAAAGAACCTAAACGAAACACATTGCAAGAAGATTGTATACAATTAAAAAAATTAATATTTGTAGCTCAATATAGATCTTTGCAGTTCACTAATTTGATAAAAGCCGTAGGCCAAAACTCATATAAACTTTGACTTTTAATTGATAGTAACAATAATTGGCCCGCATAGATGTGGATATACAGAATAAATAATCATTTTTATTGGTGGACATAGTTACTACTTACCGTCTAAAAGATCCCTTATCTTGTCCATGTAAATTTCAAAATAAGATACTTTAATGTGAAATTCTAGATTTTCTTCCATCGCGTAGATGTGATTGAAGATATCATTTACTATACGAGGAATAATGCCCTGTTTCTGGGGATCCCCTGTAAAAAAAGGATATGAAACTAGAGTCTGGTATAATTTCAAAAATGTCATCTCAAACTTTGAAATACAAATTTCATAACCAGAAATTAAAAGAATATAGCCGTCAAATTTCATAATTTTTAGAAGGTTTTCGGATCGGTCCTTTATAGTTCAATCATAATGAATTTCTGAGGTTGCTAAGCGAAAAATCTTGTCTATAGACTTTTCCTAGAGTAAAAAAATGCTTTACTTTTTAGATCCCTAGCTCATTTTTTTTTAAATAGTCGTTCACATGCAAGAGCAAAAGTATTCATTAGCTTGTATTGTAAGTTCTCTAAATCTTAACCCGCTTCACTTATTTTATTTCACCATTTGTAATAAAGTTTCTAGCTCGTAAATGACTTAATAAGGATAGAAATAAGGTGAAACTCAATATATACACATCCAAAAGCATTATAGGACTTGGACAACGTGATAAATTTCGAGTAAAAGTCTTTTACCACGAGATCACATAAATGAAAAATTAAGTAGTTCAGCCATTAGATTACATTTACTGCGTTCACATGAAGAAATCTTTGATAATTGGATTAAGTGTTCGCGTTTGGTTAGCAATTAAAAACGTTCACAGTACCTCCTGAAATGCTTTGGAATTTTGTCAGTAGATGTCTAACTAATATACAGGGTGTTTCAGTTTATTGTTGCATAACTTCAAGATTCGATAGAACTTTTAAAATGAATGCATAAAGTCTATATAAACATAGGTCGAAAAATGCGTGGCTTCCGAAATACAGGGTGTTTAAATTTACTTTCTAAAATAGTTTTTTTTAAATATTTCGAACAATATTTGATGTATAACAGTGAAAATTGGTATACAAGGGTTTTTTGAATAAAAAAACTGATTCTTCGCACTTTTCAACATAAAAAAGCTCTCTTGTGAATTTTCGTTATAGTTAGCCGTTTTTAAGATATTTCGATTTTTAAGGTTCGATGCATTTTTAATTATCTATGATAAAATAACGTTAAAAAGTCAGTATCTCGATAATTTTTAGAATTTTTTTGAAATTGAAAGCAGAATAAGGTTAAACGTCAATTAGTTGACAGTTAGTTTTGTTGTCTGTTGAAACCTGAAACGTTTTTTGCAGTTGTGATTGCACGAAATTTAGTTTCTTTTACCTGTTTTTTTTTGTAAGTTTTATAAAAATGCCATTTTTATTCTCCAATCAAGAGTTAGCGGATATTCATTGTGTGTATGGCTTTGTAAATGGAAACGCAGCAGAAGCAGCCAGAGAATACGCACGAAGATTTCCAAACAGACGACATCCAACTCGCTCAGTATTAGTAAGAGTGCATCGCCAAATAATTGAAAATGGTTTTGGAAATCTCCAAAGGGATCAAAACATAAATGTTCATCAGCGCAGATTTACCCGTATGATTTTGCGTGAGTTTGATAGAGATCCGACCACAAGTGTTAGGAGAGTTTCTGATGCCTTGGGAATTTCAGCAAGCCATGTTCACCGTGTTCTTAGAAATGACCATAGACGTCCTTACCATTTGCAACCTGTGCAATGACTACAGCCAGGGGACGGAGAACGAAGAATTACATTTTGTCAGTGGATTGTTGATAGAACTGATAATAATAAGGAGTTTTTAAGTAACGTTTTATGGACCGATGAGTCATGCTTCACTAGACGTGGAGTGGTAAATTTTCATAATCAACATATTTGGTCGCATGAAAATCCGCATGCAGTTCGGGAAAGAAATTTTCAGCATGAATTTAGTGTGAACGTGTGGATTGGTATCTACCGTAATCGACTATTTGGACCCTACCTTTTGCCTGCAAGGTTAAATGCTGCGACCTTCTTGGAATTTTTAAAGGCTGAACATGCAAATATGTGGGATGCTGTTATGTTAGATTTAAGAAGATTGGCCTGGTTCCAGCTTGATGGTTGTCCAGCTCATTATTCGAGAATAGTTAGAAACTGGCTGGACGAACAGAAAGATGGATCGGCCGTGGAAGACCAGTCGCCTGGCCTCCATGATCCCCTGACCTAAATCCATTAGATTTCTTTGTGTGGGGATTTCTAAAAGAAAACGTGTAACAGACTCCCGTAACCACAAGAGATATGCTAATAGACAGAATCAGGAATACATGTGATGAAATAAGGCCTTATTTGAATAATGCTATACCACGTTCGATCATTCGTAGATGTGAATTGTGTATCGAACAATTGGGTTTACATTTCGAGCAACTACTTTAGATTTTGTATGTTTGTCCTAACTATCCAATAGCATTTTAGTTGTAAATAATCAATTTAATTTGTTAAAAATAATATTGGAAAATTAAACAAATTAATATTGTTTTTTTTGTGTTCATTTGGAGTTAGGAATTATTGCTGTGTTTAAAAACACAATCTAAACGATCATCTTAATTACTTGTAATGCCCAAATCGAAAATGTAAACAAAATATTATTTTCCCACAAATAATTAAAAATGCATCGAACCTTAAAAATCTCAAAAACGGCTAACTATAACGAAAACTCACAGGAGAGCTTTTTTATGCAGAAAAGTGCGAGGAATCAGTTTTTTTATTCAAAAAGCAAAAAATTGCACTAAGAAAAAATTTTAGGTCATTTTAATACACTACAGGTACAGTAGAGAGCGCCCTCTAGCGGCTACAGTAAAACTATGCCCATGGTTCGTTTTGTCGTACCAAAAAACCCTTGTATACCACTGTTATACATCAAAATATTGTTCGAAATATTTAAAAAAAAAACTATTTCGAAAGTAAATTTAAACACCCTGTATTTCGGAAGCCACGCATTTTCGACCCATGTTTATATAGACTTTACGCATTAATTTTAAAAGTTCTATCGAATCTTAAAGTTATGCAACAATAAACTGAAACACCCTGTATAAGAACATCGGCAACATTAAAATTTTCGTTTTTTCATACTGTTTTATCAACTTCGAGAAAGTTATAAACACCTTCTATTATTAATGTCGTAAACATCTTAGAAACACTGAAGCGAATTTGTCTAAAAAAATTGTTGCGCAAATTTGGGTCTGGCAACATTCGTCCCAGAATACTTTTGCCATTTTATGCTAAGATACTACCTGAACTAAAAAGAAAATTATTATATAAATAAATTAGTCTGTTTTACTGTAGTAAGTTGGAACTAAGTTATGACTGTTGCAGGATGCTTAGATTTCTGAGAAAAAATCAATGTAGTGATGGGTTTACCCATAGGGATGGACCGATCCATCATGTTCAGTAGCATATCAGCCTAATATGCCACTATCCATCTTTAATGCAAAATTCATTTTTTTTCTGTGGAGATGAAATCGTAGGATTTCGATTTTTCGTAGGAAGTTCCACATTTGTCATATTTACTGACGACAAAGGACAATTCTGATATTATATTTTCGTTATCTGTCTTCCAGGTGACAGTCCTTTTGCGAATGTGAAAACTGTTCCGTTATTGGTAGAGATAAGGTGAACTTTAAGTAATACTTACCGAGCACCCCCTCCATGGTATGAGTTTTACCCGAAGAGGTCTGCCCGTAGGCGAAGATAGTGCCGTTGAAGCCCGACAGCACGTCGGTGACGATGCTCTTCGCAGCCTCATTGTAGACTTTTTCTTGGGATGCGTTGGGCTTGAATACTTTGTCGAACAGGTACACCTTACCCTGAAACAGACAACATACGTTCAGAATACATGCCGATGAATGTTGAATTAACTTATTCGTTTTTCTATCTGAAGACATAAATATCTAGAAGATTAAAATTACCTAAGAAACATCTAACTAACCAGCCTTTCTAGAGAATATCTGTTGAAAGAGCATTGAAATTATGGTCTTTGAATAAGCAGCATCTGAATCAACTTTACGTTCTGGTAGGTTTACTATCGGTCGGCTATGGAAACCTCTACAGCTGATCGTGTAATGTATTTAATATGACTGGAGAAAAAGTATTATAAGATGATTTTTTTTTAATAATCGGGGCCAACTTTCATACGCCCTATTATTTGCTCGAGGTAAAGGTACTAAAAATAGATGAGATTCTTCATTCCACAAAATATATTCATATTTGCAAAAGACTGGTGAACATCTATTCGTTATCTCACACCCTATCTGATTGTTTATATTTAATGCATTGGAAAATCAATGGGAAGTAATGCCTGTACTCTTAAAATATGGTAAGGATATAACAAACAATCCACTAAAATTCTCCAAACAATTTGATGGCAAATATTTAAGTGTCTAGCGATCTTCCTCGTACTCGTTTCAGGATGTTCTTCGACTTCGTGCGGCACTGTTCTCAATTTCAGGTGTTCTCACACTTAGAGGTCTACCTTCAGATGTTCCTTTTTGGACGGAACCAGTTTCAACAAGACGACGATGAATATTAGAAAAGGTTCGACTATCTGGCAAAGCACGATCGGGATATCTCTGGTAATAAGTCCGTCTGGCTTGCTCACCATTACCGTCGGCAAGGCCATATACGCAATGTATTTCCCCTATTTCTTTATTTGAATAATTCACCATTATTAACAAGATTGTAAAAACTAAATAATGAAAAAGATGTCACAGCGAACAGATTTGAATAACAGAGACTTGTCAGATGTCAAAAGCCAGTGACATATTCCAGTGCAACTAGATATTTATTGCTAAATTACATTTTTAAATTATTATTATTTTATATTTTAATTTATTATTTTTTTACTCAAAAATGTCGCATCGAAAGAAAACAATTCAAGAGAGATCATTTGTTTTAAATTGAACGGGGAATTCAAAAATAATTTTTTTTTGGCAAAAAACCATTGGCGTACCATTTTTTTCTCAAAAAATGTCGAAGGCAATACCCGTACGCACGCCACTGTTAAAGCAAAAAATTATTTTTGCATTGAAAAATATGCAACTTTATTAACTTTCACTACGTACTAAATATCAGTGAAATATCTGAAGCGGTTCTGAAAATATTAATTATTATCCATTTTTTTTCCTAAAACTTCAACACCCCGAGTCTTTATAACGAAACATTTTTATAGTTTATAAAGCAAACTAACATTAATTTTTCATGTAGATTCATACCCTTAAATATTCGCATATCAAAATATTTCTATTATTTCAAGTTTTCAAGTTATACGGGGTAATATATGAAATATGCCTAATAGGCGTGTAGAATTACTGGGGTCAGAAGTTATTAGATATAATGACGACAAAAAATTGCGATACAATCTCCCCCACCCCAGCTCCAATTTTTTCACCCTTAACAAATTTTCAAAAATGATCAGGATCCTCTGAAACGTCAAAAAACGATGTTTGAGCGATTTTAGTTTTTTTTTGTTCTCTGTCGCCATTGAACAAATTTTCTTAGTACAGTAGTTTGTTTGTGTCAAAATTACAGTAGTAAGATTGAGTGAAAATTTCATTAAAAGCCGAGCGGTTCTTTCCAAGTTATAGGCGGGCCAAGGATTAGCAGACAGACAGATGGACAGGCAAATTCGCTCTTACTCGTAATTTATCCTTTAAAGTACGACTAACGGCAATTGTTCGCCTATAAAGAACACCCCCAAGCCCTCCTCTCTTATAAATCTCCTTGGTTTATAGTGGATTGCTTTATAGATACCTACAGAGTGAATCTACCTGACACCATCATTCATTTTCGTGCAGGTAGAGTATCATAAGTAATTATTACATCAATAAACAGATTAATTTTACGATTCTGTATACGATAGGTTCAAACAGGGAAACTATTTTTAGGGTTTATGCTTATGTATGGATATTAACCTTGCTTCTACAGGAAGTTCATTATATAGGAAATTGGATCAATGTTTTTCTGGCTTAAATCATTCATATAAAAATAAAGGTTGATATCAGGTTGCACACTTTAAGGGTGTCTCGATATAAATAGAACTTGGTTCATATTTGGCGAGTTATAAATACTTCCATGATGACAGAAGGCAGTATTGTAATCACAAAATTCTACGAGATGTACAGTAATGGACAAAAGAATATAGACGAATATAATTATTTACCTAAATACCTTTAGAAAACGAATTCATACTTCATTGCTCCATAAACAAATGCTTTATTAGTAGAAGAAGAGATCATTGAGTTATACAAAGATGGTCAACGTCAAGTCGACATTGCCAAAAATTTGAGGCTGAAGCATAAAGCAGTTTGGGCAATATTGAACAAATATAAACAAAAATGTATCTTGGAAGCCGCTAAGAGAAGTGGTCGGCCTAGAAAACTAAATGCTTAAATTCTAAGCGAAAATCAACAAACTTATCAAGTAGGATGATTTACAATGGTAATGAACTTTTGCAACCGAACGACATATTAAATGCTTTTGCGGATAACTTCTCCAAATACTACTCGTCTTCATCAGCCACCGAAGAAACTGATGACTTTTTAATGAGCAATGAACAACCACTCAATATTACTAGATTTGAGGAGGATGAAGTTGTCTTAGCCTTGAAGCAAATAAAACCTAAGATGACTACCGGACCGGATAATGTACCAGCTTTTATTTTGCGTGACTGTGCCTCTGTGTTGGCGTGTCCTTTGACCGTTTTATTCAACTTGTGCCTTACCACCTGCACAATTCCAGAATTATGGAAGTTGTCTAAAGTATGTCCAATACACAAAAACGGCAGTAGGAATGATGTATCAAATTTTAGACCTATATCAATATTGTGCAATTTTTCAAAAGCTCTAGAGATATTAATATATAACAGACTATATCACCATGTCAGCAGAAAAATATGCGTTCAACAACATGGTTTCATGAAAGGGCGCTCAACAGTATCAAATCTGATGAACTTCACACAGACCATAGCAGAAAACATTGACAGAGGATTACAAACAGATGTGGTCTACACAGACTTCTCCAAGGCTTTCGACAGAGTTGATCACAGGATGCTATTGCATAAGCTGAAATCTCATGGATTATCCGATCCTTTAATACAACTATTTAAGTCCTACCTCACTGGAAGAAATCAATTTGTGATGTTTAATGGCATCAGATCGTCGAAGTATGTAGCCAATTGCGGAGTGCCACAAGGCAGTAACCTAGGGCCTTTATTGTTCGTCATATTTGTGAATGACATAGTTAATGCTGTTGGCGAGAATTGTTTACTTTACGCTGATGATCTGAAGATGTTTTGTCGTGTAGTTGATGAATCAGACTGTGATCAACTTTTAGAAAATCTGGTCAGGTTGGATGCTTGGTGCTCACAAAACAATCTGTCATTAAACATCAATAAATGTTACGTAATGTCTTACACTTTGAAGAAAAATCCTCTGTTATTTGACTATACCCTGTCAGGTAGCTCTATTCAGAGGACTTCAACTTTATGTGACTTAGGCGTGACATTTGACTCCCAACTAACATTCGTCAAACACATTGACAGCAAAATTTCCGAGGCAAACCGCATGTACGGCTTTATTGTAAGAAACTGTCGTGACTTCACTCAGAGTACCACCTTGAAGTTGCTGTATTATGCATATGTTAGGTCGAAGCTTGAGTATGCATTGTTAATTTGGAATCCGCATCATATTATTCATATAAGTAGGCTTGAATGTGTTCAAAGACGTTTCTTAAAATATTTGTCACTGAAAGTGGATGGCGTTTACCCGCCCGTAGGTATACCTCATGATTCCTTACTTGAAAAACATCTAATCAGCAGTCTTGAAGCAAGGCGCACTTGCCAGTCAGTGATTTTTCTATTTAAATTGATCAATAATGCTAGTGATGATTTAGCTTTCTTGGGTCAGTTATCATTTAACGTACCTAGGCTGACATCACGACAAAACGTTACGTTTTATGTACCTGCGGCACGGACAAATTATTTACACTATTGCCCTTTACATGTGATGTGTAGGAATTACAATTCTGCAAGTAACAGGATTGATATATTTAACTGCAGAATTGCAGACATAAAAAATACTATTAAGTAACCAGTATGTATCTTTTACACTTTGTAGTCTATTACTTATTACTTATTATTGTCTTTTATATCTGTGTTATGTTCTGTGTTTCCTCACCCTGTAATTGGTATTTACTGTAGGGTGTTGTAATGAATAAAATAAATAAAATAAAATATAAACAAAAATGTATCTTGGAAGCTTCTAAGAGAAGTGGTCGGCCTAGAAAACTAAATGCTACATCAGATAGATTAATAAAAGTAATTTCGTCCAAAGATCCGTTTAAAACCCCAAGACAAATAAAAGCCGAAATCGAGACAAAAGGAATTGTCAATGTTTCTACGAAAACTATAAGTAGAAGATTAAATGATTTGAAGTTATTTGCACGTCGCCCGAGTAAGAAGCCGCTAATCTCGAGGAAAAACCGTAAGGACCGATTACAATTTGCACGGTTGCATCTTGATTGGAGCATCTGCGACTGGAAGAGGGTATCTTTCAGTGACGAATCAAGTTCAATATGTTTGGATCAGATGGTATTCAAACGTTGGACGTCCTAATGGACAAAGATTGAACCCCAAGTACACTTTGCCAACTGTCAAACATGGAGGCGCGTCTGTTATGGTTTGGGGGTGCTTTTCGGGGTTTAGGATGGGACCTTTACATAGAATAGATGGCATTATGGATAAGTTTGTATACACAGACATACTAAAGCATGTCATGTTAACCTATATGGAAGACAATGTGCCCTTAAGATC